ATTAGCCCAATTTTTTGTTACCTTTGGTTGATGACTCTACTCAGACCACCTGTAGTTACCCTTGAACCCTGTTGCCAAACACTTTCCATATTTCATAGGCTTTTGGTTTGTTCCATGAATTACAAGCTATTGAGAAGGCCCTCCCAGGTCATCTGAATCAATCAAGACATCTTACAACTGCTTTGCTGACCATCATTGTCAGGAAGCTCCTCACACAATCCCTAAAGATTACATTGAAATATCACTAGATAGTTCTCCTTTGTACAAATGATAAAAAATATTACATGACAAGGTTATATAACCATTCCCTATATTTGACAGGTAAATCCTGTCCCTCTAGTTTGCAGCATCAAGCAATGTTCAAAATACCTCACGATTTTTATTGTACGTCCTGGTTCTGGATGACCCCTTTTTATACCTTTATACCCCCTAAGCCCCCCCCCCCCCATTTTTTGAGAGGGAAGGAAGAATTTTAGATAAATTGGAATGCTAGAGAAGGAGGGATAGATTGGAATAATTAACTTTTTGGAAAGATTAACCAAACATGGAAAAATCAGGGGAAGGAACAAGTAAAGTATAGATTCTTGAGTTTCTTCAACAGTTCTGTATACAGTATCCTCACAAGCCCAAGGCACCTGACTAATTACACAGTCTGAATTCAGCGTTTGCCAGGAATTCTGTCACTTTACTAGCTGGCGAAGAAGAAAGAGTTATTGATATATGAATGAGAAAGACACAGATACTATCCTGGCTGAATCTGAGAGGGAGGATTCTTGAATGGGGCGGGGAGGGCACTCCTTATATATATAGAAGAGATACAAACTATTTCATCTTGCTGTCTAGTGCAAGGATGAGGAGGCAGAACACCTAAAAGAGGAAGAACCCTTATGATTTCAGCCAAAGCAGGAAATGAAAATTCACTCCCTGTTCCAGATACAAGGAGGAGATGATTTTAAAAAAGTTTGAAGAGAGGGAGATCTCCCTTCAAACTCCAGCCAATGCAGAAGTAGAAACTGACAGAAATCTACATTGTTCTCCACTGTCGCACAACAGGAGGGGTGGATAGTAAGGATGGAAATAGATAAACGAGAAAGGGAAAAAGTTTGAAGCTGGGGAGATGGAAACCAGCACTCCAACAGGTCAGATAGAAGTATTGTAAGGAAAAGCTGGAGGGAAAATACTGGCTAAAATCTTGTCGATGTGAAGGGATGGAGGAAAAAAAAGCTTACAATTTTTTTTTGAAAATTTTATTGATTTTTGAAAACAAACATAAACAAACAAAACATAAAACATAAAGACATAAAACATATTTTTTGAAAGCAGCATAGTCCCGGGTTACATCTCTTCATACAGACACAAATTCCAGTTCATGCTCATTTTTATATTCCATTCCATATCTTATTACTATTCTACGTTTTTAATATAGCTTCTCCCCTCTTTTAACTTTCTTAATTTTATTTTATTTATTTCATCTCAATTCAAATCATTGTACTTATATTCTTTGTCTGTCCTGTTTCAATTGTCTACTATCTTTTCTCATTAAACAAAATTTCTCCTGTAATCACTGATTGGAGTATGACGCCTTTATAAATTTCCCCTAAAATTATAACACTTAATATAATACATAACTTCAATTTGGATTATGCTTGGCACTTTCTAAAATCACATACTGTATTTTAAAAAGAGGAAAAATTATAAATGTATAATATAATTAGAAAAACAATCCATACCAATTCAATTCTATCATTAATATAAATATTCATTTAAATCTTAACATTTTACACATTACTTTTCAGATAAATATCATACTTCTATGGGAACACTTATAAACTTTCCATAGTTAATTCCCTCCCCCCACTTCACTTATATTTTATAAAACATTGAATAATTAAAATGTTCCCGTTCCTTCCTAATTCAATTCTCTCATTTATTTTATTTCATTTATTTTGTTCACAAAAGTTTCACTAAATTACACTGACTATTTTATCCCTCTTTTTAATCATATGTTGTTTCCAATTTTCTAACATTATTTCTATTACAAATATAACAATACCATCTTATTCTTATTCACAGAATCCCTTTTTCAATTAAATTTTCACCCATTATCTCCGAATAAATCCTTTTTCCTTTCATCTTGCTCCAAACCTTTGTAACTTCTCTTTCTTTCCTTCTTCCCTTTCTTCTTCTCTCTCCCCTTTTTACCCCCCCATCTCTCCACCTCCATTTCCCTCTTCTATATTTCCCTTTTCTGTTGCTTTCCCACATTATATCCACTTTTCAAATTATTTTTCCCTTTTTTGGTTGTTTTTTAAAGTCTTAAATTCTCCATTCTCTTTCCCCCCTTTCCCCTTTCTTCCCCAGATGGAGTTACTTGTTCATTAAAGATGGCTTCTTCTTTGTCCCAATCTTCTTGTTGCGCAGTCTTTTCTTGTTGTTTCTCGTAGTTACGAATCGCCATTTCTAAAAATTGAAAAACGGAGCCAAAGGAGCCCTTCCCTTCTTGTGTCTCTTCTTTATATTTTTTAAATTCCATTTTCAGTTCATCCAAAGATTGTAAAAAATTTTAAACAACCACCCAATTGTTTTTAGTCATTAAAATATAATATTCAAAAATCCCAAAGTCACCAAGCAACCCAAATACACACAAGATTTTTTTTTTTTTTACATTTTCTTCTTTTTTCACTTTCTCTTCCTGGGGTTACTATTTAGTTACAAAGTTCCAGTTAAAATGTATCTTTTAGAAGTCTTATTGAGATTTTAGATTAAATTCTTTTGAAGTCCAGGCAGTCTCCTCCTTCCAGATCCTGCCCTTATTCTTTTCCTCTCCCTTCCTACTTATAGACAAAAAGGATTTTTTAATGTCCAGAAATCATTATTGTCCCTTTGGCATTTAATTATATTTTCAGCTTGATTATTGGTGCCAAAGCAGATTTTTCCAATTTCTTATTCAGCTCTCTTCATTGTCAATGTGAGGAAGGAGAGAGAAGATAAAAAAAACTTTCCCTTTTCTCTTTCTTCCGCTGCTTCCGACACTTCTTTGGGAGCGATGTTATCTTTTACAAAATTTAAATTCCAGGTTACCTTAGTTGTTGCTTTTTATCCCGGTCAGCCAAAACTTTCACTTCTTATCTTCCTCCTGCACTTTCTTTTCCGGTTGAGTGCTTCTTTGAGGTGGCCATTTCTGACCACCGCTCCTACCGCCTTCGGGAAAGGGAGTTTGACCAGCTGAGGAGGAGAGATACGGCTCTCCTCGACCCTGCTGGCGATCTCCCCCCTCTTCACCACCTCTATGGGGTGGCTTAGCCCCGAAACCAGCTGGCTCGGGGCACTCCAGCGGCGAGCCCAGGCAGAAACCACGCACGATCGCGGATTCCTACCTGCCGCTGAAGCCCTGCAAACCGGAAGTTCCCCAAAAGCTTACAATTTAGACCCCAGAATTGACATACATGTAGTGCTTCACTTGTGTGTTGTGTAATGGGCAGTTCATTCATATTATATAATACTTTTCTTGTCTCCAATAAAGCAACGAAGTGCTAAGACTGTGAAGCTTCTACTGTTATTCACCTCTGAGCATGGGATTGGGTTTCTGGAAAATAGAAATTTATAGCTATCCCTGGCTTATATCCTGAGTAATTTGTGTATCATAGTAAGACATGGAATTTTACTATTGTCTTCATGCCTTAGAAACTGCAATGTTACTATGCTTTCTGTCCCTTATGTTCTTCTTTTTCAATGAAACTGTTGATTAATGTGCATTTCAAGTTAATTTAAAAATAAACTTATTTAACTTGAAATAATTGTTTTACTTCGTTTCATGAGATCCTCCAAAGCTATAATTATTTTAAATAAAATAAACCAATCTTAGGCCACTATTAAAGCAGTATTAAATAATAAGCAAATAGTAATGTCTAAGAATGCAAAACATATCACTAAATATATTTCCAACAGTTGTGTAGGACCGATCAGTATGTTCCCATTACCACAAACAAGGCTGGAAGATTACTAACTATCCAAAGGTATAAATGTAAAATAATTTTATAAAATGGTTCTGATTTGTAAGCATAATCCTGCATGAATTAATAATGCAAAATCAGACATAAATGGATTGAACATTTGGTGAAGGAAATCAAGTAACCTGCATCACATGCTATGGTTATACATGGCAGCTCCAGTAGTGGTTTTAACTGTCTGCAGACCCTCTACCTGGACAAATATTTCAAACTCTGGGTATTATAGGTAACTAGAAAGTATTGATTTGAATCAGTATGTTACTCACTTTTTGACTGTGGACGGATTTTTAGTTCAGCTTTAGGAAATGTGTAGGCAGGTCATATACCAGTGAATGATCCTTTAGATATCCTTTTTATACAGATAGTTCTCAACTCATGATCACAATTGAACCCCAAAATTCTGTTGCTACTGAAACAGTTGCTAAGGGAGTTTTGCCCCATTTTATAATTTTTCATGCATTGTTGTTAAGTGAATCACTGCAGTTACTAAATTAAGTAGTAATTAAGCGAATCTGGCTTTCTGCTTGACTTTGCTTGTCAGAAGGTCACAAAAGGTGATCCCATGGGATCCTGGAGACACTGTAACTGTCATAAATATGACTCAGTTGCTAAGCATATTAATTTTGATCACATGACCATAGGAATGCTGCAATGGTCATGTGAAAAATGGTCATAAGGCACTTGTTTCAGTGACATTGTAACTTTGAATGGTCACTAAATGAACTGTTGTAAGCAGTGGTGGGATTCAAATTTTTTTACTACAGGTTCTGTGGGCGTGGCTTGGTGGGCGTGGCAGGGGAAGGATACTGTAAAATCTCCAGTCAGAGGTGGTATTTGCCAGTTCTCCAAACTACTCAAAATTTCTGCTACCGGTTCTCCAGAACTGGTCAGAACCTGCTGAATACCACCTCTGGTTGTAAGCCAAGGGCTAGTTGTAGTTTGATTGGGGTATGGGTTAAAAGTCAAAGCCAGCATATTTCATGGTGTTACCTTACAATGGGGATTACAGCATCGTCTTCCATGCATGTTTTCATGAATGTTGCATTCCAAGAGCAGGCAAGTTCCTTCACTTTGATATTTTGACAGTTGCTTTTCCTCAGTGCAGGGATGTTGAGCTTTCCGCAATAGTTCATATCCTAAAATAATGCCATTTGGTTGTCCTGGTGATGTCCAGTTAATCTGAAGTGATCTGAAGCAGCAAAACAATTAACACATAATTCAATTAATACCAACTGTAATTTACTTCAGCTCCTGCTAACATTCAAATCCTTACAGGTGTCCTTTTTAACTTTGCTGTAATGGGAAGGAGCTTTACTGGGTCTGAATTTTTTTAAAGGGGCTCTTCTGCTGAAGGATCATTATAGAACACTTAAATTATGATTCATTCTTTGGCAGAAAGGTAGAGTTGAAGACTCTGATATATAATTGACCCTGACATTTAATAGAAAACAAGTGCTAAATTCTAGTTTAAAATAGAAACACAGCCTCACTTTAATGCGTCTTCTCAATTGCTTTCAGCTTCTACAAACAAGTATTTTTACATTAATAAATTCAGCATAATGTAACACATTATACATATACTTGACAGAAACAAAACATTGGATCCCCTAAAAAATCTTGTTGGCTGTGCAAGACATAGCTGCACTGATAGATTTGCTGTTCACTTTTTTGTAAAAAAGCGGCTTGTAGCAATCTTGTCCTTTCATGTCTTTTTCATTCAGTGAAGGCCCTGATGACTGAAGACCATGCTTGCAGGAGCTATATTTCAATTGTCTTGTGATTTCAGCTTCTTTAGAGAAAGCATTGGAAAAACTTTCAACTGCACAAGCGGATCATCTGCAGGTAAGATCTCAATGGTTTCAGCCATCTCACATTTTCCCACTTCAGGAAAGGCACTAGTCCCACTTCAGGAAACACTAGTCATAGTGCTGGGGTTTGGGGTACATACAAGTACTATCCTTGATGAACTACCTGGCCCTCCTACATAGTCCATCTGCTGGGTAACCAGGTCAGAACTATAGTAGCAGAAATTTGTAAGGTATCAACAATAAAGATTGTAAATCTAGACCAGGGAAAAATCATGAGAAATTGTAGGTGATGAACAGGCTTGTAGCCACATTCAACCCAATTAAATTTAGGTTTATTTAAGAATTAATAGATAATAGCCAAAATCTTTCTAAAGATGCAAAACAGCTGTGGGCTACCTTGCCTTGAGGTTTAGCAATAATTTAAATATTCAGCACAGTCTGTTTATCTTGTCAGTATTTTTTATTGTCAAAGAAATTTATCATGGAATTTAAAAAGTGAAAGTTGGACCAAAATTCTAGGACTTGGAATTAGTTTGGAAAGGCCCAGGAATTTAAAATAAGTAGCACGAACTCCAGCAGATTGGAAATTATTTTATATATTATTGATATACTTATGTATTTTTTTCTAAAAAAATTAACACATACTATTTGTAATTCCTCAGCCAATACTTTCTTTCTCCTATTTGCATTTCCTCCATTTTCTTTACAGAATTTCTCTCAGCTTGGGAGATAACTAAATTGGGGAAAGGCCACAAAAGGAGCTGTTTGCAACACAGATTTATGGGAGACATCGACTCTGATTGGTTATCAGTGTAATTTAAATGTTCTGAAAAATAAGTGCTGAATTTCAAGATTCATTGTATTCATTCAGTTCTATGTCTTCAAAACATGCATTAAATATATTCCTCAAAAGATGCCTGAGTAGAAATGTAAATAATTAAATAGTTCCTTCCTTATAATATCATACTGCAGATATTTCATGAGAGAACTGCATATAATGTTAATGATACAGAATGCAGTTAACCTCTGAATTTACTCTAAATGCCAGTAAAGCCATGAATTGAATTGAACCACTATACAAGGGAGAGGAGGCTTAAATCTTTTTATATGCAGATGCTTTGTTCAAGAAAACTCTTCTTCACTCTTCTTAATTTTCTTAAACCCTTTTTGTTGCCAACTGAAGAAAAAAGATCATTTTAGAAGTGAAGAAGCTGAAGTAAAAAAGGTTAAAATTCCTTCCCCTTGTACATACCTTCAATGCCCTCTGGATAAAAATATTGAATGGAAATGGAAACAAGAACAACAATAATAGGATCTCATGCAATTACTCAAGGTCAGACTTGTACCTAATTTGCTTCAGATGTTTGGCACTACAACTGGCAGAATTCCCATCCAGAATAGGAATGGAGCTTTAGGATAAACAAGAGAATCCTACAACCTTGTGGCTAGAAGATTAATAAATGGAACTACAATCTGTCCACAATAAGTTCATTAAAGGCAGATTTCAACATTACAATGTGGATGTTCATGAGCTAAAGATGACTTTTTAAAAGTCCCACTTGCCCATTTAAGATTTAAGTAAATCTATATATCTTTTCTGCTGTAAGGGAAGCTTATCATCCCCTAACTTTGGATGGATCATTTTAGAAAGTAATATAATCTAAGTACATAGTACCTGTCAGAATTCTTTGTGACAGTGTAAATTAGCATTCATTTAAAGTTAGAGACTTATGTTCAGAAACAGCAGCTGAGATAATAAAAATCACATCTTACAGAATAAAAATAACTCAGTGAACTATTGTTTTCATTACCTTGAGGTATAAACAGAGGAACACCTAGCAATAACAATCTGTAGTGAAAGAATTGATGTCAACTGTGAAGGGATAACTTCACAGGTTACTTGTAGAGTCACTATTATTATTCTGAAGTCTTTATCTGACTTTCTGAATTAATGCCACAATCTGTAGAAGTCTATTTTATATTCACTGCATATTCAACTCAAAGGAAAAAGTACCCCTTACATATCAATGATTTACTGATAAACATATAAAAAGAAAGAACAAAAGGGTGAAAGAGAAGACAGAAAAGAACAAAGAAGTGGATACTAAACATTAACAATGAACCTACAATTTGAAATAACACCTTAATGTGTATTATTTTGCAACTAAATAAGTCAGTGGTAAATGACAAGTATTTTGTATCATGTTCACATTTGCACAGCGTACTGATTTTGTTAAAATGTTTTTGCGTAAGATGGAATTAAGATGAAATCAAACTCTCCTCTAAAACAGTCATATTTGAACTTAGTCGTGCTGTTCAGCAATATGTATCTCTAAAACTAGTGTTTATATTCACATCTCACTCTAAGCTATGATTTTACTAACCATCATTAACTATGATTTTTTTTTTCTCTCTCTCTCTCCCTCTCTCCCTCCTTCTCTCCTCCCTCCTTCCCCCCCTCTCTCCCTCTCTCCACTTTGATATCAGTCTTGAATCCTAGTGATTGCCTGGAGATGTTTACGCTGATTTTTGGCAATGTTTTTGAAGTAAATTAGTCACTGTCTCTTTCTATGATTGAAATAAAGAAACTAACTCAGAGTTACCCAATTGATCTCATGTTTAAAACTAGATTAGAATGTATGGTATCCCATAAATAAATTTCAACACATTTGAATGGAAATATAGTATATTTGTGATAAACTAATACAATTGCAATAATTGATCTCATCATGGCAATTTTTGAAAAACATCTAATTGACACCAAAATCCGGAATATTTAATCTATTAAATTAGAGGAGGAAAATTGCACCCGTAATTTCCCAGTGTTACAGTATCATTTAGGTAATAGATTAAATGGGCGTAAATATACTGTATATTTGATAAGGTTTAATAAATCAGAACAGAATATGTTATAGGTCCTATCAATTTATTTGATCTGAAGAAATAACTATCCTAAACCTCAGTATGCTGCCATGGAATGTGTGATCTTTTAAATATTCACCAGGAGAATGGAAAAGATGGGCAACAGATTAGAACTTTGTATGTTTATTTTATATGAAATTATTTTGAGCAAATAGTTTCAATGTATATGTACATGTCAGTTGCATGTTAAACACCTAACACAGATGTGTTTTGACACTTGGATTTGCAAACACATCTACTTTCTTCTACTTCTTAATTCGCTTAAGAAAACAGTAAATAGTAGATGAAGTATTTGTGTGATTTTCTGAATGATGCATTTCCCAGAAGGAAGACAACCCTGGATCTAAGATGATCTATCCAAAGAAACATTAAATTGAATTATAATAAACTGAAACAAAAAAAAAATCAGTGTATTGCCCAGCTTCCTTACCTTGACAATGGGACATTTAAAGTCCCACTAAAATCAATTCTGGAAACCTTTTCTCTCCTCCGCTCCCCTCCATGCATGTGACATATCATCATATTACACACACACACACAAACACACACACACACACTTGCAGAGGCCAAACTCAAAAAAAAGGGGGGGGCAGGGCCAGGAAAAAGCATGCCATTAATTGAATTAATACCTTTATAAGTTAATTACTTGTAAAATAAGGTACCCATTATAAAATGAATTATTTTCACTTTTGCATATAAACCCACAGACTACTCTCTCTCTCTTTCCCACACAGAATGACATTATGGAAATCTGAGCTCAATGAGCATAAATCTATAAATGTGTGGTCTGCAGGAAGTTACACTGAATTGACTTTCTATTGATGGAGGTCTGAGGAATCTTCTGTTATGCTGGTAAAGGATCTGTTGTGCTCAGATTACTATGCAAGTGTGCATAAATCAGGGTGAAAACAGGAAGAGATTTTTGAAGCCCTGCTTTTTGGTTTCTCTGCAACAAGGATGCTAATTAATAGATGGTCTGTGCTGGATTGCAGTCAAAGGAAACATATATAAATGGTTCCTGTGTGTTAAATCTTGTTGAATTTGCTCTTAGATTTTCAGATAAGTGGGAGGAATTCATTTTGTTCTTCCTTCTAGGTAATTATGCTTAGGACTTATAGCTTTCTTAAGGCCATTTCTTAATTCTGTAAATTCTCTATATGAGGAAGATGACAAATGGGCAGGCTGCTTGTCTACCTTCTCTTCCTTCCCCAATACCATGCCTTTATGCAGACAAACAAAGGGTGTTGCATGACGCTTTATGCCTTTATGCACCTACTTTGACTCTCTCACTCTGTTTTCAAGGTCTTCTACTCTTGTTTTCTTATCAAATGTAAAAGGAGCTCTTAGACTTCCAGATAAATGGGAGGTAAGGAGGAAATCATTTTCATTCCTTTAAATACTATCATACCAAACTAGACTAATTTCAAGGTTGAGTTTTTTGTTGTTGTTGCCTTTGAAGGGAATAATAATAAAGAAAGAAATGTAGAATATATTATAGCATTACTCTATAGGCATTTCTTATCTTGCTGCTGTAGAAAAGGTTTCCTTAACCTTTCACTTGTTGTAAAACAATTATAACACATGCCTGCAATCAGTTACATCCCTCTTCTATTAAGACATATGATTGTCCCATCTAAATCAATTTGAATCCATCTGTTTTCCTGGATTGATACATTTCACCCCAACATCACCTGCTGGGAAGGTAACATACTTCTCTGGGAAAGTAACTACCTCCATTCGGAGGAATCCACACCTTTGAAGTATGCTGTTAATAGCCTCCTTAAGTGGTCAATTGTGATCAATTAGATGGACAATAGAAGAGATAATGAAAGGTAAACGTTGCCTAGAGAGACTTGTCTTTTGCAGGAAAGATGTAAATCTAAGTTAGAGAGTTTTACAATGCTGTTACTTGACTTCTAAGAATGTTAAAGGTATAAGAAGGATAGGGCATCTTCCTGCATTTTGTAGAATTTTCCTCCCATGTCTCTTGTGATGTGCATGGAACTTCTTCCCAGATCTTTAACTTTGATCAAAAAATAAAAGTCTGTTTTATTTAATTTTCAAGCCTCCCTTTAAGTCTTTGTTTTGGTTCCTTTTTGGCTTTAAGCATACTGCCAGACCTTACACCTTCAAGTCAGAGTTGACTCCTGGGGTTTGCCTCAAAAAGTCCCTGCAATTTTCTTGGAACTGGCCTCCTAGTTTCCAGACTGATGCCTTAACCACCACAACAAATTGAGTCTTAGACTGAGGTAGCAGTATTGGTCTAAAAAAAAAAAAAGGTAACATCTTCCCTTTGACAAATTGACATTTTCTTTACTATTTGCCATCTCCTTTTACTTCACATAAAGAAGCATGAAGGAGCTCCAGATATAACTTCAGATATAACTGAGTGTCTGAACTGGATGCCTTTCTCTCAGCCAGTGAATGTATTTTAACTGATAATTGCTGTGCCCACAAGAACATTTTGATACCAGATAATTGCTAGCCTAATAGGAGAAACTAAACTTCCTATTGTAACAGATCTGATATGCAATCTGTTAAGACTAAATAAAGTTTAGTGAGTGCAATTATTCTTGTATTGTTCTATAGTATTCCCCTAAAGTTGCAAAGCTTTTTCTGATCCGAGATAAAGGTTTGATTTGTTAAGGAATTTCTAAAAAGCAAGGTCAATTTGTTAAAGAACTGCTACAAAAATTTGCGGAATATGCATTGTACTGCTTATAGGAGTCTGCTAGAAACCAAATAATCTCTTCATTGGACGATACTGATTACAGTATCTTCCTCTTTATTCAATCTGCTATTTTCTTCTTGAAAGAAAAGCCCAAAGACAAGGGCGGAGCAAAGCAGAGACAAAGGGAATCTGGGATCCTTCCTTGTTTCTTTAACAGAGGACGAAGTGGAAAATTCATATGCATGCCAGTACTTGCCAAAGCTGTCAACTGCAGTGATTGTCACATTTCAATCACAGTTAAAACCAACCAGCCAGCTAGCTACTTTTTTTTTTTTTTACAGCACAAGGCTGTACATTCTTGAGGACCAGAATTAATGAATTAACTATTGATTAAATTCCACTCTAGCAAATCCACCATGGCAAATAAATGAACTACCTGGGGCATATGTAGGCCACAGTCAGACATGTTCAGGCAATCGATCAGCAGTTAGCATTCTCTTAGGACATGACAACAGCTGATGATAATATGACATGTAAGAGGAGGCAATGAAAAAAGGCCCATTCTACTGAACAGATGATCAAACAGGAAGGGATTTCTGACTGTTTTATATTTCTGTATTTTGATATCTTAGCTAGTATACCATCTCAAAGACATGCATAAATACATGTGTGTATATGTGTGTTGTGTATTTTTATTATAATTTCAATCTTTGCAATTATAATTTTCAAGAGCAAATGCAAAAACTGAAATAAAACAAAGACCAGCTAAAGCTTCCTTAGAAGATTTTAGGAGTAAATATATCCTTTAGGCATATTTCCAAAGATTTAGAAATTCAGTGTTGTTATTTAAAGAATACATTTCTCTTTCTTGAAGAAGTAGACCAAGTGCCAGTAGTGTAATAAAATCTTATTAATAATAATATACACGCAGGAGGCTTATTATTGTTGCCATAATTTTGATACATCCTTGGCAATGGCTATATAATCTCTATTGGAAATTTTGGCACTCATGGATCCTTTTAGGAAAAGAATGATTACATTTGTCAATTTCCCATAATAATGGGGAAAAAAAATATAGAATCGTATCTTCTACGGTATGTGCATATAGATAAACAACTTAATTTATTTTATACTCATTGCCTTTTTAATATTTGTGAAATCATTATTCTAATTAGCTAATATAGTTGGAGTAACCACAAAAGCCCAAAGACAAGGGTGGAGCAAAGCAGAGACAAAAGGGAATCTGGGATCCTTCCTTGTTATACTGATTTAATAGGAGGAGTGGAATGTAAAGGAGAGGAGAAAGACATATGAAAGGTTGACATGACTTTCTTTGACATGTCTGAGTCTGATCAGTTTCCCATTGGAAAAAAAATAATGGAGACTTGGATGAGACCCTCTCACTCAATATTTGCAACAAGTCAGAGAAGCTGGTTCATGATAGAATTAAATCAATAAGAATTTGACACAGAACTGATTCACATGTTTCTCAGTTCTTCACTATAAATATGGATTTGGGAATCCTTCCTATATTCACCAGTAATGCCTATATGACTTTTTTTCTTCCAATATCTCCAGTCCAGGCTAATGAAATCATGGCCTTCTTGCCAAGCTAAACACTATGTGAGATTTGAGATTGCTTCTATATAAAGTAGAGACACTGAAGAATGGTAATGCATACATGCATCATACAGGCAGCTTCAGGATTAGTTTCTTTGCAGGGGGAAATGAAGTACCAGAAAATAACTACCACATATTGAATTAAAACGAAGTCTACTGTGAAAGACAAGATGTAAAATAAATAGGCAGACAGGCAAACATATACATTGTAACCTTCCTTCTTAGATTCATATGGAAATAAGCATTTATCTTATAGCTCAATTTATGCCAATGTTAATTTTAGCACCACTGATTCTTACAATTTAACATAAAAAACAAGGCAAGTACATTTTAATACCTTGAACCAAGGACATAGATCCATGGTGGTGATAAGTCTTCAGGTACATCTTCTGCAGTTCTAATTTTAGTTCCATTACTTCTCACACAAATATTTCTTCTACAGGATTCAACCTAGAATAGCAAGTATCAAAATGGGTACTTTTCCTCATTCAAAATTTGAAGTCAAAGTAGTAGCAAAACTGAATTTAATATAATGATCAGAAGGACAATCATTTTGAATGGTGAGCGCAAAAAAATGCCATTATTATTTATAATCACAGCATTTTTATAATATCTTTTCCTGTAATAGCATTAATAAATATATTAAATGCAACAGTATTGACCAAAACCAATAAAATCAAGAAAATGGACAAAACCTGTAAATTAAAAAATAAATAAATCAGCAATTGTTAGACTTTGGAATTAAAAGAACATCTCAGAATAAATACTTTTTTTATTTCCAACAGAAGCACTTTACAGCAGAAGACTGTGCTAATGATTTTTCCCCACAAAAATGAACCATTTTAAGGAATACTTACCTATGCATTACACATCAGTAAGTGCCAGTGACCTGTAGTTTAATCAGTTGGGCACCTCCCTAGTTGCAAAACGGAACAGGCCTATATAAAACTAGGTACCAGCTAACCAGGTGTAGACTTCTTTACTGCTTTATAAATGGGCAGGTTCAAATACTTACTCAACTAGCACAAAGCTCAACACAAGGCATCAAGAAAATCACAATATGCAAATTTAGATAATTATCCTATTCAAATAGTATTCCCTCTTCAGAAGTTTGACACTGATAACCCATGGCATCTGCTGCCAGTCAGGCCACTGAGATGTATTAGGGAAACAATTTCAGTGCAATACAATATCTAGGCAAAGTAGTGCATGGCATTTAAATTTGTTTGTATTTAAACTTCATTGAAACAATATAGGACTTCTTTAGCTAAATTATTCCATGATTAAGCTAGTATTCATAACAGAATGATAGACTGAGCCATAGGACTGTCTAGAAATTGTTAAATTGTTGTAACCTATCATAACTGTATTGAGAATGATCCAAGTGTTTCTCCTTTTTTCATATACATGGGGAATTTCCATTCTTTTCAACAGTGGAATTTAACCTCCTCTTAGAGTTGTCTTTTGAAAACATCCTGCATTATCAAATCACCCCATCCAAGATGAGGACATGGTATATTTTTCAATGTGAGTTACAAAAATAGTAATAATAGACTTAAATTAATAAGTTTGGGATTGGGACACCCAGAATGTTGCCACTTCACCTTTGTAAGTCTATCAGCTTTCTTTCCTCTCCTGTCCCAAAATAGAAATAACGAACCTTTGTGGAACATATTAATGTTTGATGAACTCTGAAGATGAAAGTCAAAATATGACTTCCTGAGTTTTTAATGCTTTAAATAGATCCAGAGAAAGACTAATAATGTCACCTTTAAATCAACAATAACAAAAAAGGTCATTCAATATGCCTGATTACAAATTGACAGATGTCTACACATGACATCAAAAAGCAAGACAGATACCCATTTAATTATAACTTTAGGAAACTGAAGATTTGATAGGAAATGTAAGGTCAAAAAAATGGAAGGGAAGCAAATGAACAATTAAATCTTTGAATTTTACTCAATATTTCAGTGTTACAGACATTGGCACAAATCTTGAAAAATGAGAAGCTAAAAAAAAGCTTGCTGATTAATATGTAAGACATCAATAATAAATCCTGAGGTCTGAAAACTATTAAAAGTTCTTGGAATTTATACTATGGTTGAAGAAAGACAAGTATGTATCCATATGGAAACTGGAAAGTTATATGTATATTCATAGGGAGTGGAGGTTTTTTTTTTACTAAAAGGGGCTGGAATGTGGAAATCTGTTATAGTGTGCCTTTGTGTGACGTTTATTTATTGCATGTTGCAAATGGATGCAAATCATAGGACAAAGTATACATGATTACTGTTATGGGGTCCCCATACATCATTCAAAGAAAGCCAGTATCTGAGTGAGACAAAATATATATATAGGAAAGTTGCAATTAAAGCAGCATTTTGAACAAATGAAATCAAACCCATTATAGAAATGTATTTGTATGCCTTTTCTTCACAAATATTCATAAAACCTGCAAATTTGTGAGGAAGCCTAAAGAGAAGGAGGAGAAAAAAAAACCCAAAGGGTTTAAATATTAATTGTATTTTTAAAAGACTGGGATTTCTTGGCTAAGATCATCCTGTTCCAGAGAAGAAGCGGAGGTAGGGGAACATGATAAAAGGCTACCAATGCAATATCATTAGTTCTGGTAGTTCATGTTTTATGCATGCCTGATGTTTCTAAAACAATTGCTATTTTGTTTTAATCAGTAGGAGTTGGATTTCTGTAATATATATAAGTTTAGCATCACAGGAGGAAAGGAAATTTAACCCTGGTAATTTTAAAAGACGGACTATATACATGTACATTCACCCGTCTATGTATATACATAGATATTATATAGTCCTTCTAATGTATATATATTTTAGTCACTGTTGCTGATAAATGCAATTGGTAGCTTTATCAATACACCTTTGTGCATATTTACCTCAGATGGCCCATATATAATTATTTATCTTTCATTGGTGCATTTTTTCTAACAATTTAGAAAAATACAATATTGATATCTGATTGCATTTTTCTTTCTGATTCAAGTAATAGAAATTAACCAACTTTTCTTTGCAATACAAAAAAAAAAAATTGTTCCACATTCATATAGTTTGAGGCATTAATGTATTTGCATGTATTCATAATGCCGATTAATTTTTTAACATTAAACTATTTTGTTTTAATTTTTAGTAGCATTTTCAATTTATTTTCTGAACATAAGAGATTGTTAAAGATCCCATTTATAATTATATTTTTTAAAGTTCACTCGGTTACTAAATTGGGTGTTAAATCAGCAGAAAAAACACAAAAATCACAATTAATTAGGACAAAGAAAGAAAAATATAATTGCTCCAAAATATCTAAAAAGGATTAGAAGAAATACTATGGTGTATGGTACAAATTATAAAACAGTACTTAACTATCATCAAGGAAATAAAATCTGGTCATAACAACTGAAGATAAAACAAGCCAGAATGACTAGGATATTTAATAAAGAATGGAGATAATAATTCTTGACAAGAACCTGCATGGAGGGGGCAATATAGAATAATATATTCCATTGATTTGATTATTCCTCTAACATTAGAACATAGTCTCTGATCAAAGGAGATCCTTTGGTATTTCCCTTTCGTAAACTGCAAAATAAAGTATAAAATCTTTGGACATTTTAATAATTTACAAAAGCTCAATTATCAGTATGGTAGCACATATACACTTATAGATGTGTGACACACACATATCGTATATATGCAGTATTAGCAATATTAATTGTCTATATCTGTTTTACATATTCCTAATTATTCCGTGAAATATATCACATACAGTATACAAACATATGCCATTTACATGACTGTATGCAAAATGATATATGGATTGTGTTAATATCTGTACATTTATAGATGCACTGACATTAAACTAAATACAAGAAAAAAGAAATAATCCAACCTGTATGTCATAAAGAGTGAATGGAGACAAATCTTCTACAATGAAATATCCAGGCTCTTTCATTCTGGTCTCAAATCGGTTATTATTTACATAAATAGAATATTCTGTGACAACACCATTTGAGTTTGAAGGCAATGCCAAAATGACACATACAGCTGTACTATTGATGATTACAATCTCTGGAGGAAACAGGCCCTCTGGCTCTAGAAATAAAGAAGGAAAGGGAATGAACTCCATTTGCCATTGTAAAAACCCTTGTTTAACCAAATACACATTAGAATTTAGATTTAGCAAAGCCTCTGCTACTTATCTACTAGTTTGTTAAAATGTTTGCATTGTTTTCTAAATGGACTTGTTATAAAAGATCAGAGATTGTAGGAAAAGAGGATGGTAAAAACTTTTGTATCTCCAGCCTTGCCTTAACTTTGCTTTTACTATAACTTTGACTAGAGGAATGTGACTATTTATTTAACCGTGTGACCTCATTCACAATTATTCAGTATAGTCTCATGTTTCAACTCTATCCCCCCCCCCCCAGAACTATCTTCTAAGGGTGACATAGCTTTTATTAGCATCATAATTTGAGCAATGTGTATTAAATTATTATGTAAATGCTTTTGATGATTACCAAAGACGATAATGAAGCATTACCTTTTTTTTTTTCAAAATAACTCCCATCTTTCCTAGCATTAAATTACACAGATTATTTAAGCATGTCATAAATAGCTATGCTTCTTATGTAAAGCTGTTTTTATCTAGGTAAATCCATCTTTACCAGTTGAAAAATTGTACCTTCAGTAGGTTCTATTTTATAAATAAAAAGGGGGATGAACTTTGGCTTTGCCAAGAAAATGCAATCCTGACTTAAAGTACTTTGCTAATGACCTGGAACACTTGCTTCTGGGGTAATGATATTATAATGTTTATAATGAGATTTTACAAAGCCAAAAAGATTAGAAAAGCTATTCCAAAAGCATTTGAAATTCACAAGTTGCTTTTTCCACCCTCCTTTCCCTTCCCTCCCTCCAGCTTGCCAATTTGTTTGGAAATATGTCAGGGAAACTCTCTGAATGGCTAGATTTACACCTTTCATTTATGGTCAAGCAGTTGACCGTCATGTCACAAGTAGTTTTTCACAGCATTATTTCTTTTTTTTAAAAAAAAACCCTCTTATTTTCATAATGGAACAATGACAGATTTCAATCATCATTTAAAAAGTTAATTAAATATTAGTTTTTAAGCTGAAACAAGAGTCAACCTGCCTACATCTGGTGTAGTCACTTGCACAAGTTCACTTTTGATGCTGTGAAGTCCATTGAAAACTTGAAGCAAAATCTGATACTGTCTATTTGGATATAATTCACCAATAACAGCACTATTTTTACTTGCAGGGACCTTTTTGGAGTTATTTGGACAGTGTCATTCCAGGAAAGGAAATAATATTCAACACTTCCTTGAACATCTTATAAGGCTTTTAATGAATAAAAACAAAAAATCTGGTTATGGAAATGACTGGAGAAATAATAACTTCACAGCTCTTGACACAAAAATGATTCCAATGTTAGAACTGCAAAGTTATAGGTAAAGGCGCCAGTGATAAACTCTGTACGGATGATATAAATATTCTATATGGGAAATTGCTTTGTAGGCAAATCTTATTGTTCTGATTCTTCCTAACTTGAATCTCATTTCACCAGGATTGTCTGTTGATAAATTCTTTGACCTCTTTTAAAATTATCAGTGTATTATCTGGAATCTCTCCACTTTGTCTTTTATCAGCCTCTTTTCTAAAGTATTTATTATCTTTGATTTTCCCAGGTCTTTTCCAACGAGTCTTGCCTTTGCATTATGTGTCTAAAATATTTAAAGTTTAACTTCATCATTAGTACTACGAATGAGAATTTTTGCTTTCCTTCATGTAATATTGAATGATTTATTCTTCTTGTAGTCCAAGGTATTTTCAATCATTTATCCAACAGCATATTTTAAAGGCATCAATTTAAATACAAAATCTATTCCAGACATAAGAGTATGAAGAGAAATGCAACAGTTTCTCCCCATCCTTACAATACTACAGGCACAATCTCAAACTCAACAATCTATGAATTGATATTTCCAGGTAGTTCATCAAAATAAAGCTTCTGTCTCCATTTTCTTTTATTTCTGTAGCTGAATGTTAGCAGACACTCTGTTTCCAAAACTCCTGTGCTATCTTTCACCTTTGAACCCACCAGCAACAAAGACATAAAAGAAAGTTGTTTTCAAGTGATTACTGGGATGGAGGTGGGGACAGGAAAAATTTGTTTCAGATCTGTGACAAAATAAAAACATTTGGAGACAGGGAGATTGCTTATTTGTTTGGAATAAGGCATATCAAGCAATGAAAGAATAAATAAAGGTTTGCTCTAATGACCCTCACTTGATGTTTAACCTTTGTATTCATAAACAGGCATCTAGGAAATTTGTGCAGTAAGAATGAAAATGAAGCCAGATTGCATTACCTTTATCTAGGTGGTCAGAGGTTTAAATTACTAAAGTAATGAAACTTCAGCAGCCTGCTTCAGATCTATTAGGTTTGTCAGTTTTTATAAACATGCTTACTTCAGGCATCCAATTATAAATATAAATTTTAGTGGAACCTCTATTTGCTGAGAGTCACTAGTAAGTGCTTACAGACAGATTTGCATGTACATATTGAAGAATTAACCTACTGCTTTGATGGACAGGTAATCTGGATTAAATGGATATGTTCCTCTCAAGATGACATAGCACAAATGTGTACATTTGCATATACAGAAAATCCATAACTCTTCTGGAAAGGAAGATCAGGCTGTACAGAAATGCTGGCATTTGAAAATAATATGACAACCTCAAAGAGGTTTGAATTGATGTACTGTCTGCTCAGAACTTCTTATGCGGTTTCACATTGTGAAACGCATCCAGAATCACAAGCAAATGTTGACTAACCCAAATCTTCTGAATTAATCACCTCAGAAAGAATGTTGTAAAATAAGAAAAAGTGGAGATTTAAAAAAAACACAGTATGCTCTTTGGGATGTAAGAGGCTACAATGTTTGGAGAATATATCTCTCTAGTTCAGAATAGTTGAATAAGCTGAAAGGTAAGAAATTCAAGACACAGAAAATGAAATCTTTAGGATACCACAGTTAATTAGTGGAAGGTGCTACTACCTACTGTTGACCAGAAACTTGAATCTCTTTAAATTTGATCAATTCTTAAGGAGACCAAGAATCAACGGCAAACTGTAAGCATGACTATAGATTATCTCCAATACCGAAGACAGTAAATATTTCATTGCTGCTGGGCAGGTATTGTCCTGTTCTTTTTGTGGGTTTCCATTTGCTGAAAATTTTTCTTCTTATATTCTTAATAGACTGTACCACCTATATTTATACACATGGTTCAACTTCACCCAAGGAAGAGTGTAGTTTTCTCTAATCTATGGTTTCTCCTTCTTCAGTATATTATGATCTCAACCAGAGGAACAATGATAAGAAAAATAAATTACTGAGAAAGTTCCTAATAGAAACTGTGGAAACTGTGGAATGAGTGGCAACTACTATGCTTCCTTACTTCACCTTTTCCCTTTAAGGTACCTATCCTTAACTCTTTGGGGAAAGGTTCATGTCATCAAAAAGAAGATAAGAAAAAAGACTGATGAATTAGGTGGAAGAGCACCTAGTTATGACAAGAGATGTAGCTGGTGACAGGCCATCACAAAGGATAACACCCAAACTCCTGATTGTATCCCAAGTTTAGGAAAAGTGATTGCTGTCCTGACACTGACAAATTTACAGCAGCACAGATGTCTTGGCATAAAGTCCATGGCATTAGCAAGTGGCACAAGTCCAATGCTGGCCTCTTAGAATCCCAGATGCTGTTAAGAAACCCAATTCCTGATAAGAAGGTGAGAACTTGCAAAACAAAATGGTTATGAATGGCAATATGGCAGATATCTGGAAAATTCAGAACAGCAGCTGCAACCTCAAAAGGCCAGCTAACATAAGTCTGTAGTTATAGATTGCCCTAGAGGAAATAAATGAGTTGGACATTTTTTGGTCTCAGGGTAGATTTGGCTATGGAACTGAGTTTATATTGATCACTCATGACCAACAGCAAGATTAGGAGGGGGAAAGGGAGATATTTGGATGAGGTTTCTTGCTGACATCAAGTTAGGTGTGATCAGACAAGAAATGTAGTCAAAACTGTGTATCATGACCAGAAAACTCTTAGGGTCTGGATGAGGATGAATAGATCTATGGCAGGGCTTCCCAAACTGTAAAATGCAGACAGAGTACAGAAAATTTTGGGGACATGCAGACCGAGTACAGGGCTGATGTGGAGAACCTTTTAGGTATATTGTTACAATAAATTCATTTTTTTTTGTACATTTGTGTTCATTTTGGTGTTTAGATTTTTAGAGGAGGTATGTACATGAAGATTACACTAAATTGAAGGGTGATGGCAAAAGATTTAGGGACCCCTAATCTCTGCTCAATCCTAGCAAAATTAAATAGCTTTGAAGTCAGAAACCTTCTGATGATGGGCATATTTCATCTTTGGTTCTGCATGGGATCATGCTTTTCCATGCAGAAATATTCATAAATTGGGGTTCTTCCTGGATTCATAGCTCTGCTTTTTCAATGCAATGCCTCTAATAGAATTTTCACATCACTCTAGTTTACAAACTTAAAAAAAAATCAGACTTTGAGGAGTAAGCCATTAAGCAAAGAGAAACAATATCCTTTTTTATCTAATTGAAAGCCAGTTGTTTAATGCTAGATGATGGATTGTATAATCAACAAGAACACTTACTTGGAGTGGTCCATTTCACTTCTATAGCGGTGTGGTTAAGAGGCTTTGCAGTAACATTAGTGCCTTTCTCTGAAAATCCTCCTAATGTTGTAACAATCACTTCTTCACTTGACATATATCCTACTTCATTACGTACTATCAGCTTATATGCATATGTTGTATTCCTAAAGGATATGATTTGTATCGTTAAAAGAGGAAAATCATTAGAAGCATTCAGTTTAAGTGTTGACTTTACTTCAGATTCTAACCAAAAGTTGACTTTACTTCAGATTCTAACCAGAAGTTAGATTAGAAGTTAGATTAGAAGAAACATTCAGCAGAGCTGCTATTTGACTCAAAATTTGTGAATATTTTCACTCTGCTGAATGTTTATTTTAAGTTCAAAAATAAAATTTGGTAACTATTTCCAAATATAGTTATGCCAATTCCAACCTCATTCTTTTTTGAAAAAGGCATGCTTAATTTATTATTCAATTTAGCTTTAGTTCATTTTCTGTCTCTTGTAGCCTACATAGCTCTCACTATTTCCAGAATTTTTTTTAACCTCCTATAAAACACTAGTTGGAGACAGTAGTTCCCATTTACTTCAAAGTTAAATCCTGATTCATTAATTTTATTCCCAACTCCAGATACTTCAAAAGTATCCTGAACTCTGGTTTTCAAAAATTCATTGCCTTCAAGGAAATGTGTAGAACAATATTCAGGCAAAGCAATTAAAAGAAATTCATAAGAGCAAAAAAAGTTCAGGACAATATTTCTGCATTTGTCAACAAACCACAGTAAAGCTAGCTTAATGTGATGCATGAACCTCTCTGTGAGATATGGTACCAGGAAAAGAAGAGAGAGTTATCCAACCCACTGTGTTTGATTTGTTGGAAAATCTTTTCACAAAAGGCTTAGATTCAACAGAATTTATGGAATTCAGTCAAGAAACACAGAATGGACAATTACTGTTTTTACACAATGCCATAAAGTAGTTTGATTTTGGTTTAGTAATAGGTGAAAGCAGTTTTTATAATGTGTAAATTATTTTTAAGGATTGGAAATGTGGTTTATTCAATGAACAATGATTAAACAAAGAGTTGTGTAGTAAAATACATGAACCCAGTCTACAGATTTAAACATGCCCAGCATAAATACAGACACTAATACCATGCTCCAAGGAGTGAAAGAAGCTTAACAGATTTTGACTAAATGAAGATTTTTCTGGTTAGGCATGATAGGACTAGACATCCAAGGGACCAAGAGAAGGATATAAAGATGGGTTAGGGTTGATGATTTGTTACAGAATAGCACATCTTAGAATAGGATAAAGATAGGCAGGTGGAGGAAGGTTTGTAAAGAAACAAAAACAATAAACCCAAGATATTGCTTTAGTTAAACAAAAATGTCCTCTTAAGAAAAAGCCACAATTAAAAGTGATTTCCTAGGTCAACACATCACAGATCTATACTCCAAATCTCCTTCATAAATATTTCTCAAACCCATGAACAAGCTAGCAATAGGATAGAATTGGAAGAATGCTGGATGGTGTTGTACTTTAATGAAATAAGTAAAACCACTCACTCAATATTCCAGCAGTTCACTTCTTACTTTCCTAAGCATTTTTTTTAAAAGAAAAACAAAATTGCATACAGGAGAAGAATAGGTAACCAAACTAAACAAAAGAGTGTTAATAAAGGCTCATGCCAAAGGAGATGACAGAAAATATTTCATTACATAATTAACATGTTTGCAACACGGAGATGCAAGGAACGCTTTGAACTATTAAATATGGGCTATACAAAATGCCAGCATTTGTTTTTATAGTTTTAGTAATCTTACCTGCTAAGACCCTTATCTTCATAAAACCACTGAGTTCCTGAGTAAATATTGTCCCAGAGATTTAAATCTTCAGGGGGATTTGACGCAAGTGGCTGCTGGATTTTAAGTCTCAGGAGCTCATATCTAACACAAAAGACAAGCAGAATGGTAGGATTATCTTAACTAATGTTATGACAAAAAAAGGTTGCTTTAAAAGTCACACATTATTTTCTTTTTACAGCTATAATCTTGTTTTTTTAATATTTTATAATTTGACAATTTCCACAACTTATGTAATTAGTTTCAGAATGGGTGAGGGTTTTTTTTAGCAGTTCTTTTATTAAGGAAAAATTACTTCAACCAATCCACCATCACCCAAGACTAGGTATGCATGCCCCTACCTACCTCAATTCCAACTACAGCTGGCCTTAAATGCAAGCTACTCAATGCAAGAAGCCTTGTGAATAAAATACCTGAATTTCTCCTCTTACTAAATATGGATAAATTCAACATCATATTTGTCTGTGAAACATGGCTCAATGCATCTCTCCCTGACTCCATTGCCACAGTAAGAGACTATCATGTTTACTGATCAGATCGTGAAATCCGTAGAGGAGGTTGTGTTGCTATCTTCTATAAAAAGTCCTTACATCTAAAAAACATCCAAGTTACCCAGGAGCTTGCTCTTCCTGAGACCATCATCTGTGAACTATCCTTAAATATCACATTTTGATTCTTACTATGTTACAGAGCACCTGATTATGACATCGAACATGTAAACAAGCTAAATTCACTACTAACATGGGCAGCATCCTGCCCACACACTTTTTCTTTATGACTTCAATCTACCTCATATTAACTGGACACTAAACGAATGTACAACTGAACCCATACATGCAACCTTCTACAATGCTGTTACAAATCTGGGACTAGAACAACTATTAACCAACAATACAAGACTTAACAACTGCCTTGATCTCATCTTCTGCAATAGTTTGAATTTAATTTACAGAATACAAACTAAAGAACCCTTTTCCAACAGTGACCACAATATGATTGACTTTTGTCTCAACATTCGCCCACACAAAAATCATCACAATGATGTAATCCCCGATTATAACTTTAAAAAAGACATCTATGATCTTATAGACAACGATCTCTCATCCCGTGATTGGCAATCTCTATTTACTGGATGCAATACTGTTGAAGACCATTACAGCATATTTTTTCTTGAAATCAAAAGAGTCATCAAACTATATGTACCTATAACAACTCCCAAAACAAACAAACAAACAAAAAAAAACAAATTACCCATAACAATAAGGAAACTTCAATCTAAAAAGAGATCACTCTAGTGGAAAAACAAATCTGGTCACATTGCCAACTTCAAAAGCCAATACAAAAATTTATGCCACCAGATAAAGACTGAATGCACCAATTATCACATTAAACAAGAAGAAAACCTTCTACACACCAATTCCACCCGTGCTTTTTACAATTTTGTAAACAAAAAACTAAAAGGTCCATCTCACCCCTGATAGGATCTAATGGTAAAGACTGCAATGATGTCTCCATTAAAGCCAACATCTTTAACACATTCTTTGGCTCAGTATTTGTAAACAGCAATGGATCATGCCCAGTATTTCCTAGCCGAACCACAGAAAAATATAATGATCTAATACATATTGATTTTACAGAAGACAATGTTGTAAAAGCACTACGCAATCTAAAACCATCTCTATTTATTGGACTGGATGGAATATGTGCCTACTTCTTTAAAAAGCTATCCACTGCCATAGCAGAACCTCTAAGCATAATCGTTGAAAAATCTTTCAGGATCAGCTCCTTGCCTAACCTATGGTCACAAGCCACGGTCATCCCCATCTTCAAAAAGGGAGCCTAGTTGAAAATTACAGACCAATCTCCCTATGCTGCGTCACCTGTAAAGTCATGGAATCAATTATTAACCAATCCATTATCCTCCACTTAGAGACAAACAACCTACTCTCTAATAAACAATTTGGTTTCAGAAAAAAACTATCCTGTAATCTGCAACTCTTACACTGCAAAAACACATGGACTACACAACTTGATCAGGACAAAACAATAGACGCAATCTACATAGACTTCTGTAAAGCCTTTGATTCAGTGGTACACAACAAACTACTTCTAAAACTAAAACCTTATCGTATCTCTGGACAACTGCATAACTGGATAGAAGCATTCCTGTCAAACAGACAACAAATGGTCAAAATTGGGAGTGTCCTATCAAATTCTGTACCTGTCAATAGTGGTGTCCCCCAAGGCAGTGTTCTAGGACCAACTCTCTTCATACTCTACATAAATGACCTCTGTGACCATATTAAGAGCAATTGCATTCTCATCGCTGATGATGTAAAGCTGTTCAATACCACAGACAATACTGCTACCCTTCAAAAAGACCTTGACTATGTATCAGAATGGTCAAACAAATGGCAACTTCAAATCTCAACAAATAAATGCTCTGTCCTACATATTGGCAAAAAAAAAAAAAAATCAGACAATAAAATACAGGCTGAATAGTCAAGATCTTGTTGATGATCCAAGCTCTTGTCAAGGATCTTGGAGTACTCATCTCTAATGATCTAAGTGCTAGAGCTCACTGTAACTACATAGCCAAAAAGGCATTAAGAGTTGTTAACCTAATCTTACATAGCTTTTTCTCTGGTAATATCACACTACTAACTAGAACATACAAAACATTTGCTAGACCAATACTCGAAAACAGCTCATCAGTCTGGAACCCACATTACGTATCTGTTATTAGCACAGTTGAGAAAGTCCAGAAATATTTCACAAGAAGAGTTCTCTACTCCTCTATTCGTTGTAGAATACTTTATGCCACCAGACTTGAAATAATAGACCTAAAAAACCTTGAATTATGCCATATTCGGTCTGATCTAAGTATGGTATGTAAAATCATACATTGCAATGACTTACCTGTCAATGAATACTTCAGCTTCAACCATAACAACACAAGAGCACACAATAGATACAAACTCAAGGTTAACCGCACCAAACTTGATTGCAGGAAATACGACTTCAGCAACAGAGTGGTCAATGTCTGGAATACTATTATATTATACCTATTATCTTGTAAGCAATTGACAAATCAAAATAAATAAATAAAAATAAAAATGTAATATAGTGTTTGATGAAATGTGCATACCTTTTAAGGATAATTTGACAGGAGTTTAAACAGAAGTTTGAACAGGCTAACTTGCTTTATATAGAAAAAAAGTTAAGAAAGATAAATTATGTGAAAACTTGAGTTCTCTTCCTAGCATATACTTTATCTGCTATGTAACAATCCTTATTTCATTTGATTTAATAATAAAGATTTACCCCTGAAAGTTGTGAAACAACAACTAGGTCAGGAGACTATGATAATCAATCTTTATATCAGTTGCTTTTTTTTAAAAAAAAAAAAACTGCTTTCCCTCAATTTATTTGTAAATGTATCAAAATTCTCTTTGCCCTGCATTTCATTTTTCCTTGGGTGACTATTGTTCAGCAGCAAAGATTTGTGCCATCAAAATGATACTTCCCATGAACAAGAAAGTGGCTTCAACAGACTTGAGAAGCTAAAAGTTTACCAATGTATGTGTATGCATGTTTATGTGAAAAGAAAGAAAACCAATGAGGTCTCAATACATTCAATGTCCCCAGCAAAACAGAAAATTATTAGGAACAGCAAATAAAATGTAGGAAATATTTTTTCCAGAATTCTGATTTAATCAAATAACATTATTAATTTTAGAACTCAGTCTGCTTTGAGATGGAAGGATCAGTCTAATTCAAATCTGAATGATTTGCCCAGATTCATAATTAGGTCTGCTCTAAAGCAGACTAGATGTTAATCTCCTCAACATTTTCATATTTTATACTTGAGTTTAAAACATCCTTACTTTTGAAAAAGTATTTATCAGGCAAGATACTTTTTTCCCATGAAGTTTCTCTCCTTTGAAAAAGAAAAGAAACAAATAAAAGAAAAAAACGTTGCTTCAAGTGGCTAGAAATCCCAGCTGTCAAGCCCGCTTGGCTACTCATGACTTTGGGAGGAACAGCACATACTATATTTCCAAGAGACACTGCTTAGAGCAGGAGTGAAAAACTATGGCCCCTTTATGACCAGTGGACTTCAACTCCCAGAATTCCTGAGCCAGCCATGCTCAGGAATACTGGCTAGAAATTCTGAGAGTTGAAGTCCACCAGTCATAAAGGGGCCATAGTTTCCCACTCCTGGCTTAGAGAAAAGATGGACAATCCCAGATAATTTTGTAAAAAAAATAAATGGATTCAAGGTTCCTGGGAGGAACAATACCTCATCATGACCTTTGCTCCCAAGATATTTTAAGACCCATTTTGACCACAAGTACCTGCCATGTGAACAACCTCAACTTTTAGATACTATGAATAAATATTTTAGTTAAAAAATGTCCTAAAATATATGTATTTTAATGACAGCCTTCAGAACACTTTGCCAAATTTATCAATTGAAGATGCCTTAGAAGAATTACATTCTGAGGTGTATCCCAATCTGAGAGGTGCAACATTATTGTACTTTTAATTCCTTTAGATCATTTGCATCTTTTCCTTTTGACATTTCCATGTTTACTGAGGCATGGATAGAAATTCACAAAAAATGTACTTTAGTTATAGCTGTACATATTATTCACCTTAGGTTAACTCATATATACAAGTAGTTTGGGTTTAAAGTACTTTGGTTGGAATGAACAGAAGAAAAGAAAACCATTCTCCTAAATTTTTAAATATTTTATATGGTATTTGTTTCTTTTTGTTAAGTAATATGTAATTCTTCAGAAAATCACTAAGGAAAATTGAAAATATAATGCCAATCAAATACTCTGCTGTCTCCCCAACATAGCCTTTTCAGTATTTTCAGTTTATCAACTAATTATCACATTTTCAATGTATATAAAAGAACAGAATAGAACAGAATAGAATAGCTTTATTGGCCAAATGTGATTAGACACTCAAGGAATTTGATGAAGAAATAGTCTTGGGGTGGGGTGGGAACTCTATTAATTTCTCCTGGTATCCCATTCTGCAAAAATAGTTATTCCAGTTCATTATTTGTTTGACAGTGTTACAAGCTAGCTTCCCTCCATGAGCTCCAAACACCTTATATGGGATCCCCTTGTCTTTTATCCTATTTTATCCTTATACTCTAGGAGGAGTTTAGGGTTGAGAATAAATGCCTGTCCAAAAGTGAGCTTCAATAACTAAAAAATAATATGAATCAGGGATGGGATCCGACCGGTATAACTACCGGTTCGGGTGCTCTGTGTGTGTGAGTGCAATTTACAAGCTGCTGAGCTGTCCAGACAGCTGAGCAGTGCTGCGTGTGGGTGCACAGTGGTTGGAAAAGCCCTTTCCCCCTGCTTCTTCAAGTGCAGCTGTGCCACACAAAGCAGCTGAGGTTGAAAAAGCAGGAAATAAAGGACAGGTAAGATCCCAGGTGGGTGGGTGGGTCAAAACAGCAGCAGACACAGAACCGGTTCTGTGTCTGCTGCTCTTCAGGGCTACTGGTTCTGTAGAGCCAGACAGAACCTGTAGAATCCCACCCTTGATATGAATCAATATCTTCTTATTTATAATCCAATTTCTTAATCCCAAAGCCATACTAAGGGATCATGAAGAAGAGAAAATTTGTTAGCACAAGTTAATATTACATTAATCCTCTCACCAATGTACAGTAAATGCATATACTGTAGTATCCATTTCATTTTATAGGAGAGCCCAGAAGGAATTCCTAATAATTAGTTTTTTGTAATTTGCTGATTATATATTAAGCAAAACTAATTAATAATTCCTTCTTGCATCTGAATAATTTTAGATTGATAATAGAATTGTCCAACCCATATTAGGTATAGTTCTTGGTATCAGAAGTAGAGGCCATTTTGATTCAGTCTGAAAAATCCCATTCTTTAAAGCATAAATTGAATGAAAATGGAGTATACATTCCCATTATTTAGAGTAGGAAAATAGTAAATGGCTCAATTTTTTTTTTTTTATAAGGACAGCATGAATTTCAAAAGGAAGCTTTAAAAAGTGATCTAAATTTCATAAAATAGTGATGGGGGAAGGAGGGGTTGAGCTACACTTTAAAATGGGTCTTAAATGCCTATCGGAATTTACATTTTTCACTAGGATCTATAAGAAAAGTACATACCTTTAAAAAATGAAATGTGCTAAATTTAATAATGATGAGTGCAATGTTTTATTAAAATTATGTAAATTTAATGCTATTAAATATAACTTTTGAAGGAAGAATATATAGTGAAAACAGATCTTCTAGCAAGGAGTATGCATGGCAAATTTCAAGCAGATCGGCTGATGGTTTTTTTCTGAAAAAGGAAAGGTTGCATCCTTTCTGAATGCAGTCAGGGATTGAGGGCAGGGATAAATATAAGAGATTAAGTCACTCATATTTCCCTAAAAGCAAATAAAGTTCTTAAACCAATCAGGTAGATAAGAAGCCATAAACTTCTTATCTATGGATAGAAGATGGAAAACAGGAAATAAATGCTTAAATTAAGAGTGCCATATCAATTTCTATGCCCCCTCCTCTCCCTCCTCTCCCATTTTGATTGGCATAACTGATGGTTGTCTGATTATAAGGGTCACTCTCATTTGAGGGCAGACCTGTCAATCAAGAATATAGTTAAAGTTCTTTTTGGTACTTGAAAGAGACCCCAGAATGCATGGTGGAAGATAATTTTATGTCTTCTTTCAGTTTGTGAAAGGACATATGAGAGAAGTACATCCTGTCAAATAAGCCAAAAACTAATTTGAATTGTCTCAAGTTTATGTCGAGTCCTAATAATTTCAGGCAGTTCTAGATAGTTTAATTTATTTTGATTAAATAAAATTTATATACAAAGTTAAGTTTTTGGCGTATTCTGATATATTATTTTTTTCATTACCTTATGTGATGTCCATTGGGTTTAGATGGTGGTTGCCAATACACAGTAATTACTGATTCATTAATTGGGGTCACAGTCACAGAACTGATATTTTGGGGAAATGTTGGAAGTGTAACCATATATGTTGGTAGACTCTTGGTGCACCCTCCAATGTAATCTCCACCTCCAGTACAAGCTTCTATGGTAACCGAGTAATTTGTGAAAGGGATCAGGTTGGTTACTATGTGGCTCATAAAAGTTGTCAAATTGTTAGTTATAGTGATCTGAGGGTTTGGCATGTAGATCTCATAGCTCAATATTTCTCCATTTAAAATAGAAGGAGACTCCCAGGAAACCTAAAACAATAAGAAATGGTTTAGAATGAAAGATTAAGAATTTTACAAGGTTTAAAAAATAGTTCTAACAACATTGTTCTATTTGTAAAGATAATTTCACTTTCTGGGTTTATGCATGAATCCAAATATCAACTCACGAAGCATCCCTGACCTGATCTTATTGAAGAAGCAGAAAGAATTAGAGAATGGCAATCCCATGAACAATTAGGAAATCTATGAAGGACTTGGGCTTTATAGCTAATAAACAGCACCTTGAATTGCATCCAGAAGGTATCAAGCAACCGTTGCAACTTGAAATAAAGAGCTGTCAAGATAGGTGTTCTGAGGTGTTAGAATACCTATAGGTGTTAAATAAGAAAGGGGAGAATGTTAAACCTTGATTTAGTCTTGTAAATCATTGGACTAGGACTCTATTTCTCTTGCTCATCCATCAGCCAACAATGACTGGAACTGGCCATGGACAAAGGAGACCACTGTTCTTCTCCTTTGAAACAGTGCTACTAGCTAACTCCCCAAGTCAGCCAGAAGGATCAATAATATCAGCCAAAATCAATAATATCAAAAGCTACCAAGAGAACAAGGAGGATTAGGAGGATTGTACTACCCCCATCTCACTAAAGGTTATCCATTAGTGCAAACAATGTCATCTCAGTGCTACATGCTGGCTGGAAACGAAGCAGAAAATATTCCATCTAATATGTTTCTTCCAGAACTCTGGCTGTTGCTATCAGAAAATATAGTCAAGTCTTTTCCATTTCAAAATACTTTTGGATTTCCTTCTCATAACATCATTCTTCACTGGTATTAAAACCTAATCATGACTGTCAAAGAGTCATTTTTAATCCATTTGGGTGGCAAGCTGTTCACCTACAAAGTGTGCCATTTAGTTATGAGTATTTTTATATCAATCCAAATATAGGAAAAGATAAAAAACAGGTTTGTCCAGACATTTGGTAAAATATTGCACACAAGGATTGGCTGAGTTCTTTAAGATGGTTTATACTGGACAGTGTTAATCATCCTTTTGCAGATCAGGTGTCCTATTCTGAATTATTCATGTCTTGGATTATCAGAGATAGAAAATATACAATAAAATACAATTTTATTTGCCTATAAACTCTGGAGAAACTCACAATCAAAAGAACAATTATATCTGCATTTACTTTTGAGCTCAAAATGAAACTGAGGCTCTGGGAGACCTAGTGCAGGCCCAGGCCGCCTTTCTGGGCCTCCTAAGGCCCACCTCCTGACACAACCCATGTTCTCCCTCCCACTCCTCAAGATCCCCACAGCCCTTGTGCCTGCTTTCCTCTCCCATATTCCGGCAGGTCTCCCCTGAGTCTTTGCAGGCTTTTCCCCACTACCACCAGGTCCCATGGGCCTTTTCCTTCCCACTAGTCCCCACAGGGCTTGGGCTTCCTCCTCACACCCTACTGGATTTCTGGAGCTTTCTGCTGTGCTGCATGGACCACTTTGGGGAAGGTGAATGTAGCTTTGTCATGTGGTGTGATTCTGGAAGTGGTTGCCATTTTGCAAGCATTCACATTGAGCTTTGGTTGTTCAGAAAAAGGTGACTGCTTCTGGAATTGTGCCAGGTGGCTGTGCAACAAAGCAATCCATTCTGCTACCCTACAGTGCTGCAGAAAGCTCTAATATTTCCTCTACCCAAAAAGTGTTTTGTTTCTTCTCCCCACTATACTTATCTGATAATACCAGATTAAAAAAATATGTATTGTATTATTATTAAAATTATGTATTAATTTTACTTTCCTTGTTTTTTTTAGGCATTTCCCCTGAAAAGTAATCAATCATTCAGTCATAGAGATTTACCCACAACTAGGATATGGCTTCAAACTATTCTTGATATATCCAAATTAGTAGACCATATGCAACAATATCTCAGGTATTTTTTTCAGTCTCTTAGGGTAATGAGTGACTACCCTCAATATTTGTTTTTTTGTTTTTGTTTTTTAACTCATCCTCATGGGCTTTAGCTGCATCTTTCTGATGTCAGTTCCTATTATTTTAGAAGGTAGGATAATGATTGGCTAAGGCTCTGCGTGATCCACCACTTTCCAATTTTTCTACACTTAGCATGAAACTTATATTTATGATGTATGAAAAGTCTTTAACACTTTTTCTTTTAAGCCACTAAGACTTTTTTCTATTAGGCCACCTGTTTCCATCAATTCCTATAGGAGTCATTTAAAGTAAAGTTTAATTAATCAGGCTGCTTGAATTTCTTGCAGCCATTTCACGTTTCTAGGGCAGATGCCCAAGATCTGATTAAGTAGCTGTTTCATTTCTATCAAAGAACAAGTGCTTACAAGCCAGGAGAACTAGTTATGGAATTGGCACAAAAATGATTTCATTATTAACGTGGAGAAAATTACTATGACTGCACTGAAAAGGTAAGAAAAAGTGAATTGCCATTACTGCACAAACACAATAAAACAAAACATTTGAAGAGTTACTTGTAGAAACATCCTTATGGACCACTCGCAGATTGATACTAGATACAACACAATGGAGTCTATTCCTTCCTTATGGCTACAATCATCCTGCTGTTCTACTAGACAAACAATTCAACAATGCAGCATTTATGCCCTAGTCCTAAAAGCATTTCTACTTAACCAAGGAATGTCTCAATTTCTCCCTTGCAATTTTAGTGTCCCTGCTATGCTGAAGACATTCTCCTGGATTAAAGAAGGTTTCATTTCACTAACTAAATATCAAAGCACCTTAAGTTTTCTATCACAGAATACAAAGGGACAGTTTCCCATTAAACAATAATACCCTTAGAAAACTTTTTTATAAACATAATCAAAACCTTTCAATTCAAGGAAAATAACTTTAATGAAAGAGAGCACAGTGTTAACAATTCTATAGAAGCAAGAGTATGTTAGAATTCTCCAATCTTTTTTAGAATCAAGAACACTGCTGGTTGTTCTTTTCAAAAATAAACTGTATAATATAGCTGTCTTTGTGAACTGTCTCTCAAAAGTCATTTCATATCAGAATAACCCTGCAGTACCGGGACATGTTACCAGTGGTGGGATTCAATTTTTTTTTACTATCGGTTCTGTGGGCATGGCTTAATGGGCATGGCTTGGTGGGGATGACAGGGGAAGAATACTATAAATTCTCCATTCCTACCTCACCCCAGTAACCTGTTTTCCAGCTCTGTTCTCATGTGCAGGACAACAAGAGAAGACCCAGCCGATCAGCTGGGACTTGGAAGGCAGAGAATAGATGGGGGTGAGGCCAGTCAGAGGTGGTATTTGTCGGTTTTCCAAACTACTCAAAATTTCTGCTACCATTCTCCAGAACTGGTCAGAACCTGCTGAATACCACCTGTGATGTTACAATGTGTCACCATACATGCTAATATATGGAAAATTTTAAAAATTGAAAAAGAAGCTGGTAATTGCAGCAAGCCTATCTATCGTACCTTCACATCGTAGGTTGGTGAGATATTTACAAAAACACAATAGTCTCAAGGTTTCAGCTCTTTTGAAACTGTCAAAAGCTCAGCCTCAACCAAAGAAACCTATAGTCTAGAGATACAATTGTACTATATTTTGTGAATTCTACTGAGCATTGGATCATTCATATTGATGTTATGACTACATAAAAAACAAAACAATGTTGCTCTTTATATCAAATTCTATTCCAGTTCAAATAAGGATTTGTACTCAAAGTTTGGAAACTGATTGCTTTGACAGTCACAAACTTCTATTAATTGATGTCCTTATTTGTATAAAAGAGTAATCTTTCCAACTATTCTTACAAGAGTAGGAGGCTATTTTAAGTATTTATTGACCTGTCCCTCAAGCAAGTGCTTATTTATCTTTTGCCTATAAGAACTCTTATTGATGATATTAACATGACAGGCATGTGGCATAAGAGAACTGACCCATTTATTTTAGCCTCTAAGCAAAACTAGAAAGTCATAAAGCTTTTGCAGTTCTGTAAAATAGAGCTCTGTAAATTATTTGTATTCTTCTCTGTAGCTTTTCTACAGAGCTTCTGTTAAAACTGAAGCCATTTTCTAACTTAAATGTTGATGGATACATAGGACCATATTCTCTATAGTGTTAACAAGTTTATAAGCAGGTAAAAGAGGATATTTTCCTTTTATTTTCAACCTGCTTTTCTCTGCATATATCCAGCTATGCAGTCTCTTCCTTTCCTTTCCATTTCATTATGTAAACTTTCTTTCAGTTGACCTATTAGACCAGGGCTGTCAAACTTATGGCCTGCAGGCTGGATGTGTCATGTGCTGGCAACGCACATGTCCAGTTTAGCGAAGGGGAAAAAAAGTCCCGATTTATCATGTGACACCTCCATGATGACATGAGCTTGACATCCCTATATTAGACTGTAAAGCAGGTATACTGTTCCCTTGGACAACAACAAAACAGAGACTGCTAACTGTGAAAGAGGATCATTTTTTTTTGTATTTTAGGGAACTTTAATAAACAAGGTAAAACCACTGCAAACCGTCTTCTAAATCAGCCACTATATCTCCCTCATTCAAGAAGTAAAATTATGTGTAAGGAAAAAAGGCATGTTTTAGATGGTTTAATTTTGGCCTTAGATTCTGTTGAACAAAATTGAAACTTTCTTATATAACTATGGAACCTTTTCAGTGAGGATGAAGTTCTAGGGCAGCCTAATCTGTTTATTTTACACATAGAGGTATTTTCTAAAAATAAGGTTCACATTGGTACAAGGGTCTGCTGTGTTTGAAAATTATAGGTAGAAAATATGAGATCATTTGGGACAAATTGTCAAATGGGAAACTATTAACAATAATTAAAACACTCACTATAAAAAAAATATTGCCTCTGTGCTCTAGGCTGTGAAGTAAAAAAAATGACTATCAACCAGCCTGCATGGTAGATTAAGAGCCCAAACTTTCAGTGAAGAGGTCTTCCTTCTTCAGGAGACTGATTTGAAGTGATAAATTCATCTATGTCTCAATTAGTGTGATAATCCCACAAAATGGTTGCATTATTTGGATTTGCACTATTCAAAGTGTGAATTTGCACACAAGAAAGTGACATTTCTATGGAAATAGAATCTTGATCGAAATAGGCAATGAAAATGTTTAACCACAAATGTTTTTATATACATTTTTGAACTATTGAGTGCAGTGCTCAATCCATACAGTTAAAAGATGCTCAATTTCAATTTTGCATCACAGGTATATGTTTGCCAACCACAAAGATCTGGTGCAACTTTACCTTTTTCTTTTATTTCCCTTGCATGTCTACTGGAGATTCAGGCCTTCCAACATCTTATCACATTTTAGTGATGCTAAGGCCATATTCATGACTTGAATTATATCAATTTTTTTCTCTAATGTAATAATGAGATTCTTCATTTCTGAGCTTGTACTATTTACCTTTTGACAGAATCTTTCTTTTCTCCATTTTAGACACACGAAGATTAGCAGCCTCTAAAATCTCAACTGCAATTGAACATGTACTAGCCTCAACTGTGCAATTAACTGAATTTTGTGTTGCATTAAACACGACTTGGTATCAATTTATAATTCACACTAAACTGAATATTGAATTATTTAAACACTCATTAATCATGATATAACTGCAGAAAGCTGTTGCCACTCTGTACATCTGGTGCATACTTTTCTTGTGCAACAGAGATGGTGACAGGACAGTGATATGTGTTGCATCTTGTTGCTGCCTCTTTAATGTTTTCTTAATTTAAACACATATTTTTCTAAGCACCTGGCTACTATGCAATCCCAAGAAAAGCTGTGTGTACTCCAGGTACAAATGCCCCAGACCACTAACCAAATATTAAGAGTTCCATCCAGTGTCAGGTAAAGTATTCTATATATGTATTACAATGAATTCTGACATAATGATTGAACATAATATTTACCATTGCAGCATAAATTTAGTTAATCTCATTTAGAGTTAAGAGGATGTTTCAAGACATTTCTCATTTAAAACTCTTATTGCTTGTTAATATGTCAAACTACTTTTTTTTTAAAAAAATAGTGATTCTGTTCATATTCTCCAATGGACTGTGTGTGTGTGTGCGCGCATGTGTGTGTGTGTGTGTGTGTGTGTGTGTGAGAGAGAGAGAGAGAGAGAGAGAGACAAACAATTCTACTGACACAGGGAATAAATCTCCTAAAACAGCAACAACAATTTTAGCAGTAACAGTGTGAATGATTCCAGTGGATAATCTCTATCCTTACGCAAACGTCCTTTGTTTTGTGCTCCAGTGAGCAAGCTACTATACCAATATTTTTGGCACTAGTACAAGACTGAATCCATGGAAGCATGTGTATATTTACACAAAAGAGACTTCTAAGCTACAAAAATCCCTCTTGTTTAGTTACACTAATTTCCCCTGAATGAAGTTTGTATGTAAGCCAAAACAATAGTAGTTATCCTGTCCTCTAGAGTTCATTCCCAAATGAAAGATATGAATAATTGAAAATTTCTGAGGCAGTCCTCCAAAACTGTTTTCTTAATGTATTGATTTATCAGAGATGAAAACAAAAGCTATATTTAGCATCTATATATTTTCTTGATTAAAATTAAATATTCCCACAGTATTATTTAAAATATTTCATATGAAAAGGAAACAACAGGAAAGTAATCTGTTCAATTTAAAGAGACCTTAGTGCACAACAAGGGAGCTGATGAAGAAAAGTTACAATAGAACAATGAATCAAATTCTAGCAAGGGTGGTGATGTCCAGGCTAATAACATCTACGGGGCATTCTCTGTCAAGACATCTTGATTTTAACATAAACCTAAAACTGGAAAAACAGAAAACTGAAAATTTTAAGTAGAAAAAACTGAGGCACCACCTGTTTTAGCACTGTCCAATCCAAGAACCAATGTTTCCAGGAAAGGTGCTGTTATAGATACTTCTTAATATCAAAAGACTGATTTTTGGGTCACATGCAAGAGAGCTGTTTTCTCTATTGTTCCCAGGTGTAAGATAGAATCTTTCTGGTGCTTAGTTTATTTATTTATTTTAATTTATAAAACCTGTCCAATAGCTAATGAACTGATATAGGGAAAATTCTTGAAAAAGATTGCTGCTAAAAATGAAAAGGATTATCCCAAATCGTTGCAGCTAGGGTTAACTATGATTATGGAATGGAAACCATATTGCTCTGGTAGATGAATGGCACTTGGGTCTGGATATCAGAAGTAAGCCTTCATCTGTCTTCAATACATCAACCTTGGCATCTTTATGAACTGTCTCTGAGATCATGAAAACATGGGGAATATGGAGTTGCAGTGGCTCCATTCCTTCATAAGCAGACAGTTCTAGTCAGTATGGAGAGGGAAGGAGAAATTGACCCAGCAGCTGTTCTCATGTGATCCATTTCTCTGTCTCTCCCTCTCCCTTGCTCCTTAACATCTACATGAAGATACTGGGTCAGGTCACTTGAGGTGAGATATCAGTGAACCTTTGACATGCAAGGAGACATACCTTGATCCCAGACCAGCAAAATGTATGATAGGAAACTTGAAATGTCCCAGTCAATGGAATACTAACTAATTAATCTGAATGGAATAACAGAATAACAGATGAAACTTCTATGGGAACAAGAAGTTATCTGGATTACTTTGGTTGCAGGTTGATGCAGAAAAGTTGATAAAAGTCAGTCATGATGAAATGTGAAGCTTGACACAAAATAGTTGTGGTGTGAAATGCAGGAGCCCACCTGGTTTTGTGCAGACTAGATGAGCACATGTCATCTCTCTTATGAGAACTGCACTAGCTGCCAATTTGCTCCCGAGTCCAATTCAAGGTGCTGGCTATTCATTTTAAAGCCCTGCATGGCTCAGGACCAGGTTATTTAAAGTCCATTTTTACCCAGTCCAACTCACCTGAGTGAGGAGGCAGGAAATGTTACAGGTCCCCTCTCTTAAAGAGGTACATCTAGTAGGACCAAGAAGAAGGGCCTTCTCCATAGTGGCTACCTCATTATGGAACATCATCCCAACAAAGATAAGATTGCATCCCACTTTGACACACAGAATCTTTGCAAGATGGTGAAGACCCACTTGTGCCAATGGACCTGGAGAAACCAGACCGTGGTGGAGCCCATCAAGTGGCTTATTAATTGTGGTTGCCAAGGGGAGGTGGCAGGTTATTGCTAAATAGCAAAAGCACTTAGAATTATGTAGTGCTTCACAGTGCTTTACAGCCCTCTCTAAGTGGTTTACAGAATCAGCCTATTGCCCCCAACAATCCGGTTTCTCATTTTACTGACCTCAGAAGGATGGAAAGCCGAATCAACCTTGAGCCAGTTACCATAGAACTCCTGGCAGTTGGAAGAATTAGCCTACAATACTGCATTCTAACCACTGTGCCACCAAGGCTTATTGATTTTTTAAATGATATTTATGTTTGTAAGCTGCCTGAAGTCACTGAGAGTGAGTTGGGTGGCTATATAAATTTTCACAAACAAACAAGTAAAGTTGAAAGAGCTCAGTGCATGGCAACTACATTAACCAATGAAGTCCTATGTGAAGTTGCCTATGTGAAATCACCAATTAATATTAGGAAATAAACAAGGGGGGAAAGCATGTAGATTATAATTTATTGAATATTTTCCAACCCCTTTATCTAATTTACCAGTAACTGTGTTGTGTGTAGTGAAGCAGTATATTGTATCTTTACATGTATGCATTTTTCCATCTCCCCTCATGATAGTTTATCTAGTTTGTATCTATATTTGCTCCTTCTGGAAGGATAGAGGGATTTGAGAATTAATCAGTCAGCAGCATTACAACTCAGTGCCTCGTTGTCTCTCCCATAGGAGAATTTTTGAGACTGGGAGAAGTTTTCTTGAAACATCCCCTGGCCTGATCTGACATAATTTCAATTCAGCTTTTCTTTTCCCAGCTTCTTTCCTCTTCCCAATTTGCTGTCATTCAATTCAGTTTTCAGAGAGTCATCCTTCTCATAGACAGGCAGAATTCTGGGCCCCCTTTTTATCATTCTAGTGATTGGGAAGAATAAAAATAAGGATAAACAAACCTGGGCAGTATATGGATCTAATGCTTGCACCATAGGAGCCTGGATGTTTTCAGGTCTTGAGGGCCTTGTGATGACTTCTACCCAAGAACTGCTGTTAATGCCACCTTGGAAAGTGCTTGCCAATATTCTGTATTCATATTTTTTCCAAGGGCTAAGACCGGTACTTTTGTCTAGATAACTCTTGGAACAATTGGAAGGAAAAGAGGCTACTGCGGATACTTGTTCTGTTCCCTTTATTCTCCTCTCTATTGTGAAGCTTTCAACTGGTCCATTTAAATGAAGCGGAGATTGCCATGACACAAGCACAGATGTTGGTGTGTCTGAGTATAATTCTGGAGCAGGGATGTCTTCAGGTGCATCTGGAAGGGTTTGTATAGGTAGGCTCTCAGAGGAAAGGGAGCACCCTTTGGAAGTGCATCCTTCTACTTGAAATCGGTAAACTGTATATGGTTGCAAGAAAGATGCAATATATTTTGCTCTAGCTCCTGGAACAGTAGCATGCAGATGGCTGTTTTGATAGATGTTGTAGTGGGTGACAATGCCATTTGGCCTTAAAGGAGGCTGCCAGGAAATGGTTGTTTCTCTGGCTTTCACTTCCAGGATTAGTGGTGGGTCAATAGGACCTGGTTCTACAACAGAAGAAGGGTTGTGGGGGAGAATAAGATCATTGTTCCTAATGTGCAGCTACATAATGCAAAAATGAAACTTTTTCACTGGAAAATACCTTTGTTTCTTAAAGGCAATATAAGCAATGGAGAGAACCCATCCACAAGTTCCTTTTACTGTAATGAATGCAATAGCGAACAGAGATTATGTAACTATTTATTCTTTGAAACTTATCATTTAGTTCTCAGGTGAATTGAGAATCCCATTGGTCCTATTTTATAATAACGTTATAATATAATGCAATTTGTTCAGTTTGGGCTTAATATGATGAGTGAAACCATCCATTATGATTTAACAGTATATAAACCAGCCCCATGGCTAATCCTGGCTTAACTCAACCATTATAGTCAGTGATTCTACAGAGTATTAACTTAACCCACTTGTACAATGATTTAGAGGAATACATTATGGATTCTGCTAGTGGAATATATTCTTTAGGGACTCTTCTCAGAACACTGCCACAGGCAGAAAGCAATTCTGATTTTCCATTGTAATTCCCAACTTCCATGACCAGATTTTACGGAAAGATGGAGAACTGAAGGTACAAGTGACATGTGGGTGAATGTTAACTCCTCTCCCATTTATTCAGTGAAAAACTTCCACTGAATAAAAAGTCTCCCATGGCTGAGAGGACCCATCCAACAAGTAGAAAAGTTTGCTGAATACAGACCCCTTCTAATTAGGAATCACTATAGTATTGTTCTTCCCATAATTAAAACAAGATCAGGAATTCAATTTTGGTATCCTACTAACGTGAACTGCAATGGAAAAAATAGTGTCAGAGAAGAACTATTTGTTTGCCTTCTAGGGTTAGTTTTCTTAAAGGCTAGTCTAAATGAGACATCTTTCCTAAGTGAAAGTTTGGTATGATGCAACAGGAAACTTCCCAGATCTTTTAATATTAATAAGAACTTTCTATATTATTTCTAATACCAAAAGCACCTTTCTACTATCCATTGTTCTATGCAAACATAAAAGGAGATGCAGAACTAGGCTAAAATATATGAAAGAACTCTCAAGAGAATTCCCCTTGTACTCCACCCCTATTATATTAGAAGAACAGTCAAACCCTTGGGAGAAGACGATGAGCAGAGGGGACAAGTGAAAGCTTGCCTGCTATAATCCACTCCATGGCCAAATGGACTCATCTGAAGCAATTAATGAATTTTAGGAATTAATTCATGATTTTAAGAAAAAATATATGAAACTGGTCAAGAATCATTTTTTTAACTTTTGCTGTTGTTCTTTCAGAACACATTCTTAATTACTTTCAGCACACCATTGTAACAAGCCTGCTTGTTTCATATCCCAGAAAAGCTATTCCTATGCTTCTTGTTGCATATGCAATATTTATGCTCTCGTCTGTTTATCATTCTAATCCATTTTTTGCAATTTATCTACTCCCTGTTAATATTGTAGGTGATTTTTTACTGTGACTGTGACAGAAGCTGCCGATTTAGCTCTTTCACCTACTGATAAATAAACAATGCACAGATCTGACCTTTAGGTTAACAGGTTTTATGCTTGCTCCACTCAGCACTCTAACAGATTCAATTATCATAAAGGTTCAGGAGCTTCCATGAATACTGAAAAAGATGAACCATATGCCCGCATAGGTGTCGTAGAACAGCAAATACTCAGCAACTGCCCCCCCCTTGAGAAGTCCCTTAATTGTAAATAATTTCATCATGCGACACAATCAAGTCACCTTGAATGCAAAATCCCTCACCCTGTGGAGGCAAAACGTTATTTAAGCTTTAGTGGGCTGCGTTAAATTCTGCAATTTGAAGGGCTGTTAAGTTTTTCAATTGAAATTTCATTTAAAATGCAGGTGCTTTTTATTATATTGAGGCTTTACTACTCTCTAGGTACAAGCAAGAACATGGTGCAAAAACACAAATCTGGCTCAATCACTGATCAGTAACAGCTGTAATTCCAGAACATTTAGCATTCTTATAAACCATCTCGTGAAATCTATAAATTGTTGTCAGGGGTCAGCTGCCCACCTATTCTGCTCATAGCATTTTTGGTGTTTATGAGATTTTGTGTTAACTCTAGATTTTGTTGAAAATCTTTTGAAAATATATTCTTGAGTACTGTAATCATTTAAAAGAGTTTTCAAGGCTCCCCCCCCCTTCATAGAATCAGATGTTCACATTTTCAAAGGCACCAGTGCCAGGGACCTTGAGTTACATTCTGCAGCCATTTGAAAGAAGGGGAAAAGTAAGCTAGTCATGAAGCATTATATCAGTATCTTCTTTTTTTACCTGATAAATCAGTGCATAGCTTGCTTATAACAGCAATTACCCCTATGTAAGTTTCTGTGAAATTCCTGTGAATACAAATTTTAGGCGACTGCTTCTATAAGTTGCAAAGTTACATGTTAGAAGGTGGTTAAAATATACAAGTAATATTCAAAATTATTCTGGAAAGTTTTAGAAAGTATTTGGATCTTCATATTTGTATTAGGATTGGTTTTTCCATAGTTCCCAAAATGATAACTAGATTTAAATAATTTTGAAGGGGAAAAAAGGAATATCTTGTTAAGATTTAAGGTACAGAAAGTGATAGTGATTTTTGGAAAGTCAGCTTAAAGCAATTCAGCTTTCAAGATTCATTTTCTACAGGACTAGTCAACAACTTACTAATTAGGCATCTATCTGGACAATTGGACTGTGGTTATCTGCAGGAAGAAAATAACCAAGCAGTTTGTTTTTTCTTATGATAAGTAAGATAAAGCTTTCATACCTACTGCTAGCATTATAGGTACAACATTTGGGATAATGAGATGAACTTGTATTACTAACCCCTGCTGAGTTTAGACATAGCCCTTTTAACATTATCTGCTATAACTTATGAGAACAGAGGCTTAACTTAATTTTCTACTTTGCCTCTCTCCCCCCCAAAAAAACATTAAAAAGGAAAGGATACCTTTTTACATTCATTTGCTATTGCTCCCTTTTTAAAATGGCAACACTTTAAAAAAGATAACTTAATTCAAACATGTCACATCCTTGACCTAGGAATAATTTTCATACATGAAAGAGGAATAGGATGATACACTTATTACAGTGCATGCAGAAAAGGCAAGTCTTAGCAACCAAAGCTCCTGACTGTTGTCTACAATTAAGGCAACTGTGAACATGAGACCCAGCCTGGGAGCTCTGCTTCAAACATCTTTGTGCAAAAAGTTAAAAAAATAGCAAAATGGAGGAATATACCGGTTACATGATTTGTTTAGGGACAGGCTGATACTTCAAATAGACTACTTCAAGGAATCAGGTCTAACAAGACCAGCTGGTTATGCTTGGGAGCTTTTCCCATTTAAAGAACCCACCTAAGTGATTTTGATGCTGGAATAGCACTCTGTGAGAACCTGACGGCCATATATCTTAGATTAAACCCAGAAGGCAAGTTCAGAAATGTCTACTCTTGCCCAGAACTATTTGGTTGCTAGTAAAGATCTTAACTATATGTTACTCAAACTATTGTATCTGTTTGATATGTTTGTAACTGTCAATTGGGCAAAATGTGCATCAAAGGGCAACCATTTTTAAACCAAGGTACCTCAATTGAGCTAACTTGCAGAATGTGTCCAAAATCTGGAACTGATAACTTTCACAAAATTAGAATTTGACAAATTTGTGGCTACTTCAGTGCTGCCACCCTGCCATTTCAGCCACAGTCACTTAATTGACATTTCCAGGGTTCAATGCCAGCTTCCTACAAGGAAAGTCACTGGGGAAGAAGGCAGGAAGTTGGAAGTCACTCATGCTCTCCTTGCTTTTTTGCTTACACACAGCCATTCAGTTTCACTGTTTAGGTAAGGAAATATCTCTGAAATGATGACCCAAAAGGTCATGGGCTGCCTAATATTCTATGACAATGAATGGTTCACTCTTACACTGATTTCAAACTACCTGTTACTGAACTCTAGTCTAAATATCCAGGACAAACAATACTTTAGAGAATTGAATTGGCACTGCTGGAAAAAGAATTAAAGTTTTATCTCATCATTTTGTTAGATGAATAGATACTTTGGCAGTCTGTCTCTGTCTGTGAAGACACCATAAGCTAGCATGATCCTGCTTGGCTGACTGGGTCACCACAATTATGTAAAACACAACTATTAACTCTAATTGGAATAGTTTGCTAATATAATACAAAGCTCTCAATATGAAAAAAAAAAAGGTACGCACCCAGTAGCAGCAATCACTTTTTAAAGTAAGAATTCATGGGTGAAATGACATGAAAAAGATGGTTATAAAATTTTAATGGAATGATAAAAGGCAAAAGTCAGCCTCTCAGCAGAATTCTTAAAATCTCTATATATCACAATCAGGTCCTTAACTGTAAAATCAATGTGGAATAGAATGTGTTGTCAATGCAGTTATCACTGTATGGGAGCCTGCAAGAGTTTGACAGTAACACAATCTTGCCTGCCAGGGCTGAAAATAAAATAATAAACTCCTGTTACTTATTAGGAATTGTTTATAGAGCCAACTACAGCAGATGAGTGGAAGGGGAGGGGCATATCACTTAATGCCTTTGATTGATTCCTCAGGCTATTTCATTATTACATTAATACTGGAAGGTAGTTTCATTTTGCCAAATGAAATTATCTTTTATGGGAGGCTATTTTGCTTGTCTGCTTCAAAAGTTCAGACTCTATTTAAGAAAAGGAGGTATAAAATTATCATTAATCTTTTCTAATCATCTTACTAGAGACAAGTGTTTATTTACTTACTAGTGCAGAATTATCTTCTGATGGCCAGGCAAGATGGGAATCATAGAATTTCTTGATATATGCAGTGGGCAACAGAAATAGATTATTGCATTTTTAAAGGTAATGAGAGGTATACTTTTCAGAGGTCAGGCAGAACATATCTGTAGGAGACTGGTGTTTAGTGAACTTTCCAAAGCAGAATCATACATTTAATCAAACTTTGCAACTCAAAGAATATAAAGTGAGTTCCAGACAATTGCCACTTCTACGGTTAAAAAGCTAAAATAAAAAATCTAACAATAATACTTAATATTTAAGAATCCATCCAATTATGGGGTTTGAAAGAATCCTGGTTTGTTTCTTAAAGAGCTTTATAACAGGCTGACATTCAGCTGACATTTTTTTATTAATGGTATTGTCAGAAAAAAAGTCTACTTGTCTTTTTGTAACAAAGATATTAAAAACCTAATATAGGTTTGGAAGGAGTGGCTCAGAAGACACATACTACTATAAACAAAGGCAGACTGTCCTATTGTCCCTGACAGATTTCACTGATGGATTTGCTTTTGTCTCCAATATCCATTGTATTTATTACATTTCTAAAATGCACCATAAATTCTGTTGCTGAATTCTATTGAGATGTGTGTTTAAACTGGGGGTAACTATCTTAGTTGGCCTATCCTGGCAACTAATGGAGTCATTTACAATTGCTTGTCTGTAAGCCAAAGAATTGGTTTGGGACTGCTGCTCCCAAGACAGTTGTCTTAAGTGACAGAGTCTGATTTTCTGTGGATGGATATACTTGGTATTATTTAAGATCTAGAAAAGGGATAATTAGGTTAAACCTTGAATAACTTGAATCTTTCCTCCACATCCCCATATCCCATCCCCATCTAATCTTAGTAATTTTAATTTTTACACATTCAGCTAAAATCAGCAACAACTCTGGAATGAATTGAGGAGTACACAAAAAGGTTTCAGGTGGCCTCATTTGGGATCATGCATATATTATAACCACAATATAAATCTATCACTGCTATCTAGCTCTCAAGTGGTGAGCTGCTCTTGGAGAGAAGTTTGTGAAATAGAGTCATTCATTCCCTGGAAGTAGGGCACAAATTGCATGCTGAAGGATAAATATTTAGTGTTTAGCATCCTTAGTTAGAAGAATCAAGTAATGGGAATGAGACTAACAGGGTTGATAAACTTTTTAGGATTGTAGCATAATTAATGCAATTAAAAAGTTATGATATCCTTCCAGGATGTGCACTTATTTATCTATTGGTCTGAGGTTTTTCTCACTCTCTTCCAATGTATAAAAAAATTAAAATGTTTTAAAAGACAATATTAAAAAACATTTTTATTTTTATAATAAAAATTACATAGGAGCCAGAGGATAGGTTCTTTTAACATTTATATTACCTGTAAAGAGAATGTTTTTAAAAAACAGAGGGCTTTGACCAGAATCTACATACAGCCTTACATAGTCAAAAAGCATAGTAATAGCTTCAGTAATCATAATAAATGCTATGACCATTAGATTGACTTTTACATTGTATGTCCTGCAAAAGTACACTGTATCCTTTTTCAAGCTACTTACTATCCTCTTCTGTATCTATCAGAGTCCAGTTGCTGAATGTATCACCATATTCATTGCAGGCAATAACTCTCAACTCATAAGATGTATATGGTTGCAGATCCTTCAGTATGTGATGTAAATAAATTGTTGGTTTAGAAAACAATCTAAAGGAAAAATACATATTTTAAGATTAGAAATACAAGATCACAGGGGAATACTGTATAGACAGGACTGGTGCATTTCAGATAAACCACCTCATATCAGTTTGGATCTCTTCTGAATATACAGAGTATTTACCTACTTACTCTGTATTATTTTCTGAGCAGTTCTTAAATCTTATTTGCAGTCGGTATGTGGGTAAGCCTGGAGCATTGTTGCGAACTGGTGTAGACCAGAAAACCTGAAGACTGGTTGGAGTAGCAGATGAAAGTCTAGGAGGCAACATGCCATCTGGAGCTGTTCGAAAAACATGGATGAATTAGAGCAGAAAAAGATGTGGGCAACATATGCTGGATGGAATTAAAATACTCAATACACTGGAAAACTGATATTGAGGATCAACAGCAATTAAAGCACAGTTTAATTTAACATCTGTGTGTGCTACTGTAGAATTGGGCTACATACTTCTTATATTATAATAATGTTATCATAGTACATCCATACTAATATAAATCCATAGATAGATTAATATGTGCTGCTCTCAAATTTATAATGCTGTGTATCTATCTCATCATCTGAAAACAACTGATTTGGCTCACCTGAGCATGATTGCTATCTGGTACAAGAGAACTTAAGAAATCAGCTTCAGAACCAATGACTAAAGATACCTGCTTTTTCTATCCTCAGCAATTACAAGCTATATAATAAGCCATCTTGCTAACTTCTAGTTCTAGTCAAATGGTAAGCCAAGCATGATCAGAAGGAGTGCAATGTTATATGATAACATGACACCACTTATTAATTATATTAATTGCACACAAATCACATTCTATTCACATTTCAGGGTAGATGAAAGTAGACCTTTGAAATTAATGAAGTTCTAAGCAAAAATACAATAGTAATCACAATGATAGGAACAGAAAAAGAATAATTAAGCTAAAACGTCAAAAAGAGGTTTCAGCCTGATGCAGAAAGGAATTCATTGTTGTCCTTTGTCTCAGAAGATATTCAAAAAATAAGGTGCAATTTTTATAGACAGAATATATGAAAAATCTTACTTAGGCTATTTTAACAATAGTTGATTAATAACAACTTCTGATTGATTCAATACTGATTGATTAATAACAACTTCTTTGAAATGTTGTTTTAGATATTGGAAGTCAATTAGATTTTAAATGTAAGAGTTACATTTGCACTTTTGACTGAGCTTGATGGCTGGGATTTAGAAGTCATTTTCAGAATTCAAACTTCTAAAACACATCTAAATGCTAGTTCTGACATTTGTGAGAGATTTGAGAGCAATTATAAAATAGTGAAAAGATTGGTAAACAGAACAGAAATTCTGTTGAATTTGTTTAATCAAATGCTGTACATGGAACACTTGATGTCCTGAGAATTTATTGATAATTAAGCTTTCAAAGCCACCATTCCTGTTTCATAAGCCATGGTTTAACAATAGTGAAATGAGCATTGGATCCTAGTGTTGCTTCTCTGTCCCTGTTCTCTCTGCAGAACATAAGCTGGTCTTGTCATTAAATTTTTGCCTTGTCTTAATCCAGAGTTCCTATTAACGAATTTTGTAATAGTAAATTGCAAGTGTCTCAGAATACAAAAAAAGGGCAGCTTCTGTTGCCAAAAGGTTACCTGCTTCTGGTTTATATGTAGAGCAGTGCAGGTTGTTCCTATTGCATTAAAAGTTATCTATAAGCTACATATAATTTCTGAAAGGCAACCTTCCACTCAATCACCCTCCACAACTCCTGACTGCACTCCGAGGATCTAAATGGAATCTCTAACATGCTTTTTTCCAAGGTACTTTGAAAAACTGGATCCACTGTTAAACTAATCAAGAGCATCCAACAGCTGATCACCTATTACAGTAGTTCAAACTTCTCATTATTAAAAAATGTCACATATTTTTATGAATAGGAACTTGATGGGAGTATTCCCCCTTTCATTTCTTTAGTCTTAATATTTCCTGTAAAGACTGGATTCATACAAAAGCAATAATTATAAGGGAGCAATAATTTTTCTGTCACTTTCTTAATAGAAGAGCCATTTACCTATCAGGATGATATATTGCCTTGAACAAACAATGATACTTCAACTGCCCTTTTTGAAGTTTACTACATCCCTCAAGGGGCAACCACTCCATTGGTAACCTACTGAATCAACACATCTTGTCCAATAAATGCTCAATTAGCATGGCAAAATAGCATACAGCAAGTATATTGGAAAAGTGCAATGGGTGAAGAATTTAATTTTATTTCTCCTTAGCAGCATAAACTAGTCAATTTTGCTATTTTGGAGATTAGGCAAGGGTTAAGAAATTAAATACCACTGCAAATTCTTGTGGGGAAAAGGACAGGCTTTGCATAAAAATAAATGAACTATTAAGAGATTTGTACAGCCAAGTTGCACATGTGGACCCAGAGCCCTGGTATATACCAACACAGCTAGCCTTAATCTGACTTAATAAAACGAATGATACTATATTAAGAACATTTTGTTCTTCCTTCATTGACAAAACTGATCGATAAAACAGGAAGAATGTTTAAGATTTTAAAAATTCTAATATCTAATGTAATTGAGAATTTGGGGGTCCTTATTTCAAAATCTGGGAAAATAAAAAGAAACAATTTTTTATTACTGAATTTCAGTTGAGTTTCTTTTTTTCCTAACAGCTCCCCTAACATAGCAAAAAATATGCAAACTGTGCTCAATGCAGTAAGATCATCTAAGCGGTGAGAACTTCATACAGTTGGTGAACTTATCAAACTGAGACATTTCTTTCTAAAGAAGAAAGAAACTAAGATTTTAAATAATGCAATAAAATGGGTATGTGACTAATTTTTAAATGCCATTTCAGATTTGTCATATATTTTTCACATATATAATGTGAAAACAAAAGTCATTGAAGAATACCTGAAAAAATGGAAGAAAAATAAAAAGGTCAATATTTGTTCATTTATTCAATCAATCAATTTATAGGGCAGTTCCTTTCATTTATAATTCTTACGTGACTTATAATAATAGAAAAGAAAATTAAAAAACACATTAACAAAAAGGAACAAACAATATATAGCCAAACAATAACCTTTTTACCTAAATTCATCTTAATCATGTGCAGGAGAACAGCCATGTCTTAAATGTTCTACCAACATTTGGCAAAGTCAAGTCTTTCCCAATCTTAAGGGGTATTCTGTTCCACTGGACACACACTGTGATAGAAAAGGCATGCTTTTTGGATTCCATCAGATTACATTTGTAAGTGAAAGGATTATCTTGTCTGGTAAGATAGGGCAGCCAGAGATAAACAGCTGGTTCTTCAGGTAATCTAGTGCCTGATACTTGTGGCATCATGTTGCTGTCATGTGATGTTTCACAACATTTATCACCTGACTTGCACATGACACATCCGGCCCATGGTCCATCAGTTTGACACCCCTGACCTAATGCAATGCCAATAAGGAGTCTATAGATTGCATTCAGCATCATGAATTATACTAAATTACAATAGAAAACTAGGTGTTTAAATACTAAGGCTGATAAGCCAAACATGAGGTTACAGAAACTCAAACAGTTATAAAATCCTGGCAAATCAGGTCATAAAATGTCAGGAATGACTGAAAAAATGAACAGAAACAACAATAAATCAACTCTGTAGCTAAGTTAAACATCAACATGGACAAATGACCACTGACCGGAGACTACAATCATAGTGAAAGGTAAAGGATGCAACATTTCCTATTTCAGTCTTTAGTATAGCAGACTGTAGTATACCAGAGGACACTACTGTGATCAGCTCATAAGGACTGAAGTGTTTACCAGCGGAAACAAATATGACTTTGTGAATAATGACAAGTAGACCTATTTAAGTAATTTTGTATATATATTCCAAATCCTAATTTTGCTGATGTAGCTAAGCATGTAAAGTAATTGTAAGTATATCGATAGAAAAAGATGACCGACAGTTTTTTTTAGGTGCTCACTTCTTGTAGCTGGTGTGTGGAATTGATAGTTAATTTATTTAGCTTTCTTTCACAAAACTAGGATTTTCAGTATCCCTTGTTTTCTGAGTTTGCAAATCACACAAGGACTATTTGCAAACATATTTATATGTTTATCATCCTTCCTGAAACTGATGTGGTAAACGGTGCACAGAACTTTAAAAAATGCCAATAAGCAATTAGTTGACTGATTAATGATTATAAATACATGTCAGAGATACACTCAACGAAATTTATGGCTGTCCAGAAAAGCCAATTAGATGTCATGCTGTTTAAATAGATACCTAGCCAACAAGCCACAGAATAATGAGCTTCCAAAAGAAGAATTAAACAACAAAAATGCATTTATAAAGGACTTCATATGCCAAACCAAACTTATGAATACATTTCTTAACAGAGCTTTCAATACTTACAATTCTTCAAAAATTTATCAAAATCACCTCCATTTAAAGATGCATAGATTGAAAAGTAACCCAAGTAGAATTCTATGGAATTATTATTCTACAACTGTATCTTTTCATACTGCTGAAGCTTATTGTGGCATTAAATGTTGGGGCCAATTGATTGGTTTGTTAATTTCTGCGCTTGCCATCTTAAAACATAGTGCTTCACCCAGGCATTTGATTAAACTTGTACTATAGTACCTTTCGATCTGCCTGGATATTGTCTTGAATTTCAATGTCAGTTTACTTTTGATGTTTTTATTGAACAATGTTTTGTTTTTATGCAGGTACATCATCTCATTTATTTTGAAAAATATAGATTTATTGAAAGAAAAAAATAATTACAGAAATGTCAAATCATTTAAACAAAATTCATTAAAAGACAGTAGTTGAACAAGGATGCGTTTAATTCTGGGCCAACTGCTGTTTCCAGATCAGTAAGGTCATGTCATAGTCCTCAAAGATCAATTTTAGAAAGAGTTAGAACAATTCTCTTTATAGGTTATTTTGGTTTTGGTTTTGTGGAAAATATCAAACTGCATAATTATAATTGCAGTCTTTATAATAGACAGCACCTCCCACATAATGGTTGAATATATCTTTGCTCGAGTATTCTGTACATACCCTTGTTAACATGCCATTCACAAAGCACAGTGTTTTCTAAAGTTTTGTACAAATAGCCCAGAGTAGGAATGATCAATGCATGAAAGAAAAGCAAATGTGATGGATTCATTTGCCCAACTCTTTGACTGGTAATACTATTAGGTTTTCTGCACAAAAGCCATGTGCATCCTAGTTATGTGCATCAAAATGCAGGTTACAAAACTGGATATGTAACATTGGT